ACTCTGTACCTAGGTATCTCTTACTAAATAAGCTATCGATGACACAAACTGAGTCCTGGGTCACAAACTGGTTGCGTTCCTACTTCTCAAACAGAATGCAGTACACTGTATACAAAGGTAAATCCTCCTCCGCTGTGCTCAATGAAGCTGGTGTCCCCGAAGGTGCTGTACTCTTCCCAATTCTCTTTTCTTTCTTTCTACATGACCTATCATCTTCAAATGACATTAATTTTGTCAAATATGCTGATGACCTAACTGTATCTTTGCCTGTCAAATGTCAAAGTGACCGCTTCAAACGAAATGGCTTTCAATCAGAAATCAGCCAGTGATCCAAGGAAAACGGTATAACCTTAAATCCCTCCAAATGCCAAACAGTCAATTTCACCTTTAGGCATAAATCTGACCTAGACAAAGTGGTCAGCACACTCACGAGGTGTGCAACATAAATGGCACTGAAATAGACACCAAGTCGGAAATTAAATATCTTGGCGTCATTGTATCTGCTGATCTTTCCTGGTCGTCGCATATCTTCATGATTTCTAAGAAAATATTCCGCCTTACCTTCTAAATCAAGAAGTTAAGACATTCTGGAATAACCCAACCCTCACTCCTACGATTCGTTAACTCCCGCATTCTGCCTATTATTCTCTGCTGTTCCTGGGCTACTGAAAAAGGACTATATCTTCTTAGGTAGGATGTTAAAGGTTGTCAGCAGGGTAAGCAACGTACAGCTTAACCAGCTTGTTAATATTCTGGTACACAGGCACTTGAACTCAAGTGAAAAATGGCCTAAATCCATTCTATCTATCTAACTCACACCACCACCCTCTTCATTCACATCTCTCCCCTTGTATTTATCTCAACAGACAGAAATAGAAGCTTATATAGAAAACTATATGCTCGCACTAGTAAGTGCAAAATCTCAACCATACCCTACCTACTTGGCTCGTGTTCTGTGCGATAAAGAAGAAAGCATTAGGCATGATACCTATAACTTATTAAATAGTCAGTAGAACAACTGGATCTCGTCTTTCCAACTCATATCATTTATAGGTACAACGTTTTCTTTCTTTCTTTTCCTTTTCTCTCTCTATTTTCTGTTATGTGCTGCTGTGTTTCTCTCTTTCTTACAAACTCTACATAAAACCTTCTTCGTTCTTTCACACTCTGTATATCTCGACCATTTTGTTACCGCTTACGCCAGTAAATATGCTAGTATCTACCTTTCTAGCATTTTCAAACACTCTGTTCATTTTTGGCTTTGCTACTGACATGCCAATATGTTGTTGTCATAACTAACTGAGATTACCCTTAATCTATGTAGAACTTTATTTATTGTTAATATACAAACTGGATGCTCAATACTGTAGTGAAAAGTTGAAAATTCCATTCTGTATCACAAGTACTGTTTTGGAATAAAGCAAACTATTATTATAATATCATAAATGTATTGTGGAACAAGTTTAAGTAAGATGGGATGGATGAAAAGTCAATTAGTTTTGAATACGCATGGTCAATGAGAATATGAGATAAGTGGGTACTCAACTTCTCAACTAAACCAGTACTTACAAAAGGAGTCAAGGATAAATTACCAAAAATGGCCTAATCAGTGTATATCCATAAGGTCAATTGCTCCTTTGGAGCTAGTTACATTAGAAGTACACAGAGAGCTTTACTCATAAGTGCACGTGAACATGTACCTGTATGTTTGAGTAAAGGCGTAACCAAATGCATAAGCGGTGCGGTTTTAAAACCCTACTGATAGGTACTGGACACTCGTTGAAACTTGACCAGGCGTGTTCTCAATTAGTTACCGCGTTCCTGAAAAGTCTATAGAGAGGAGCTAGACCACGTATGCTACCAGTAGCTGAAGCGATAGCAATCAATTCCAGAGAAGGCCGGCTCTTTGTATACAGAAAAAGTATGCTCAACCGCTACATCTCCCAACAAATCCTCCTTAATCATTAGCATTTTAAATTCTTATCACAAGTTCCTTTTCTTCATCTTCTTCTTCCAATCCCTTGTTTCACTGACAAACATTCATTTCTGACGTTTTATTACTTCATGACATTTATTATGATTTCTATTAACTTAGGTTTAAGTGATGGTTTTCTAAATCCTGTTCATTTCACTTCACTAAATTAATTATTACTGTTATTATTTGACAATCATTCACCAATAGTGCTTTTTGGTTTACACCACATCTTCGTTATTATTGCACAACCATAATTATTGTCATTATTATTGGAACCTGGAAAAGCTTACGCAGAACTCTTAACAAGGCAGGAATAAAAGTGACTGGCATTCAGACCAACCACAAACTCAATTAGAAACAAACTTTCTCGGTTGAAGGATCCTGTGGAGCATTTAAAACAAAACAATTTAGTTTATCTAATACCCTACCTGCAATGATTGTCAGGTCAAATACATAGGTCAAAGTAGTAGAACAGGATCAGTCAATGAGACTAGCGAAGCATAAACTCCTAGAAGCAAAATCTAGATTAGTTGATCTGAATAAGATAAGAAATCTGGAGAATAGTTTAGCTATAACACTCACCACATGAAATTACACACAACCATACAATAGGCTGGATGGGATAGGATGACCGTTTTAAAATCTAAAGCAACTGACAGAGTGGAGGGAGGGATTAATAACAGAAGCTTTGTTTATCGAATCAACTGCAAATCAAAACGTGTAATAGGAATGATTCAACACCTGTCCAGTCGGATATCTGGAAAATTCTACCACCCGAACGCCGACAAAATCAGAGAGGATAAAGAAAACTACAAAACTCAAGTTTCGAAGTCGTGTGATTATAATTGATGAAATGATTATGAACAATGAATAGATTTTGTTCGAAACCTTGCCATCGCGTAAATTTATTGAGATCAAAATTTTATCGCTCTAACAATTTTGTTTATAATAAATTCTGGGAACAGTCAAATTACTATCACATTAATCAACTCCTGTGGGGCTTTCGGTTTCATTTAGTCGACTGTGATTTGAACAAGAGGCTGACGACTTCTCATGGGCTTTTTTGTTTTAGGGGAAGCAGAATTCACAGTCATTTACTGGTGTATCTAGTCAATAAGTCTCTCTTGAACTTGCTGATATGATTTTGAGGAAGATGTGCTATTAAGAATTTCATCCAATTTTTAAATAATTTATCACTTGTATATTATATATATATTTATAATATGTACAATGGACCAGACCTACCTCGATTCTACGGAAGATCGAAAATGCACAAGCCAAATATCCCGTTACGACCAATTGTATCACTCCCAGGAACTCCAACATATAATTTATCCAAAGAATTATACAGAAAACGGAAACACTTAACGGAATCTTGTGATCACTCCACCAACTCTGCTATCCAATTTCTAGAGAAAATCAAAGGCATCCAAATAGATGAACACGAAATAATGATATCCTTCGACGTCACAGCATTATAAACCTCAATCAGTCAAAATCTAGCAAAAGAAACCATGGATCAATTACTCAGCAACGACGAACACCTCCCACAACAATCAAAAATACAAAACACAAGTTGGATAGAATGCATAAACCTATGCCTAACAACATACTTCCAATTCAACGGCCAAATGCATGAACAAGTCAAAGGAACACCCATGAGATCGCCAATATCAGGTTTGATTGCAGAAGCAGTGATGCAAAGGCTCGAAAACATAATTCTACCAAAGATCAAACTCAAAATTTGGATACTTTATGTAGATGATATATTTGTAATAATCAGAAGAAACGAGTTAGATAAAACCCACAAGGCTTAATAAACAACGTCTTCAACGACACTGAATTCACAAGAGAAGAGGAATCCGAAGACAAAATACCATATTTGGACAACATAGTCAAGCGAACAACCATAGGGGAATCAGAAACTCAAGTTTATAGAAAATCAACTCACACAGATCAAATGCTTAATTACAACACCAACAATCCAATAACACACAAAAGGAATAGCATGCAAACACTATTCAAGAGGGTCAGCCATGACTCAATGCAGCACTCCCACCTTGAGGAAAATACAGGAAAGATATCTCATGAACGTCTTTCAAAGGAATGGATATCGCCAACCTATCAAACCAAAAGCCCCAAGGAAAGCACAAAGAAAATCGCCTTACCATTTATAAGGGATATCTCAGAAATCATTGCAAGACTTTTCAAACCTCTAGGAATTGACGTCGTACATAAACCAACAAAGTCACTTCACTCAATTCTATGTCAACCGAAAAACCCAACAGTGTAAGAAGATAAAGCCAGCATCATCTACAAAATAAATTGTAACAACTGCGTGAAACACCACATAGACCAAAGTGGACGTCCCCTTCGTCTTTGTATCCACGAACATAAGCTAGCTGTCAAAAGACATGATATCCTATCCCTCATATCGCTTCACTGCACACAGACAGCCTCGGCCATCAACTCGACTGGACGACATTCAAATATGAGACACATTAAACAATAGGAAGGCTAACAAATTTGTAGAAGATTGGTATTCCAGTGAATCATCAGTCAATAGACACATCGAGATAGACAAAATTTATCAACTGATAAGAAAGAAACCTCACACACAAAGGGTCAAAGTTCAAGTAAAAAAAAAACAATCAGCTCCAATACAAGTAACCCAGAAGGTGTGAAAACCCACAAAAAAACCAATCACGCTCAAGGTGGTCACCGGGAGAGATGATTAATAAACTCGTGGAGAAATCTAAAAGCTCACTTCATCACACTGAGGTATTCGCTGAAGATGTCGCCTAGTAGGGCGATAAAAGCTTCGCAAATTAACCATCCAGCTAGCTCAGAGAACACAACCACATTGAAAGCATTCACCTGGGCTACAAATCTCTCTATCATATCTAAATATACTTACGGCATATAGAATTATATATACTAATCCAAGGTGATAAAGTTCTAGCGTCATATTCATCCTCAAATAAAGATTCCCTAATTGCTTTTTTTGTGTTTATTTGCTCTGCAGGCTTATAATATCATTCCTGAATTGGATAACTTCAGAGCAAACTATGCAAACTGTTTGTCAGATGCCAACAAGCGAAGGTCGCCTATACCTTCAAATGAAGTAAGTCATATAAAGATAAAAATTCTCACTTGTTACACAAATTATTATTTTCAGTGCACAATTTAAGACCAATGAAGTCATTGATTTTAGAATATGGTTGACAGTTTAAAGTGTTTTTTAATGTTATTATTATTATGGTTCCCCTGGATTCCTAGTGGAACATAGGGCTTCAACTGCACGTCTCCACTTGCTTCTCTCTTCTGCTGTACTTTTCACCTGCATCCATGTTAGTCCATACTGTTCCAACTCCTCTTCACACGATCTCCTCCATGTCACCCTTGCACTGATGACCCACTCGCCGATTCCCTTTCAGGTTCCACTCGATGGCCTCACGCGCGCGTGATGTCACCCAGCGGTCTCCTCAGTGAGTGTCCAATCCATCTCCCGTTTCTCTTGCATATTTGTTGGCTGGTGATTGGTTCTTTTTTTGTTTGTTCCCATAGTTTCTTGTTGGTGATTCTTTCCGGCCACGCCATCTGATCTTCAGTATAAAACCAGCGAAGACAGTTGTTAGTTGATAAAGGTCTGCAACAGGCTGTTGGAAATATTCTTAGTGACCCGCCCGCCAAGTTTCTGATCCGTATAGAAGAACTGACTGACTTGACGTTGTTTGTATTGAAAATCCGACTGAATTTTGTTGTTGATGCTGAGTTGAGTGACGAAGATTTCCAGATTGGTTTCAGGTTGATGAATGTGTTTCTCGCCTTCCCGATTCTCGCTCGATTTGACATCCTCGTCCGTCCTAACTGCCTGTAGTTGAGACAATGCTCCCTAGATAAGTGAATGAAGTAGCCTCTTTCAAATCCCTCCCGTTGATGGTGATTGGCGCTGGATGTTGCTGTTGTTGGCTGGTTATTTTCATAACCTCCATCTTGTCTATGTTCACCTGGAGTCCTGTCTTCTCCGGCTGCTCCTTTGACCAGTTTGTCGGTTTTCGCCTAGTAAGTCTTCGATTTTGTGTGACGTCAAACATAAATCATCCACGCGCGAAATCCAGGTCTTCTAGGTTCTTCACGTCGGTCCAGGATATTCCTGTCTTCTCGTTTCCCACTCACTGTCTGACGCATAATCCAGTCAGTCCACCACAATTAGGAATATCATTGGTGATAATAGGCAGTCAGCCTTGTCTGACTCCTGTGTTTACTCCAAACGCCTCGCTGAGTTTTCCGTTGTGGATCACTTGACATGTGCCGCCGTTGTCGTACAGCTGTTGAATAAGGTTGATGAATATTCGGGGTACGCTCTAGTACTCGAGTAGTTTCCAAACTACTTCGCGGTCAACGCTGTCTGTCGAAGGCCTTCTCGAGGTGTATAAAGTCGAGGTAGAGGTTTGATTGCCATTCCATGCTTTGTTTTGTGATGATGATGAGTAGAGTTGCAATTTGGTGAGAACATGACTTGCCTTTCTTGAATCCAGCTTGTTCTAGTCGGATTTCTGTATCTAGTGTGTCCTTTATTCTCATTAGGATGATGCGATACAGAATTTCACTTGGCGTCGACAGGAGCGTGATTCCTCGCCAGTTCTCGCAGAGTTCTAAGTCGCTCATCTTTGGTGGTTTCACGAGGTAACCTTTCCTCCAGTCAGTAGGCACCTTCCCTCCTTCAGACCTTTTGCAATAATGGAGTCAGCATGTCTGCTGAGTCTTGGGTCCGCTTTCAGTGCTTCAGGGGTTTCCATCTGGTCCGGCTGCTTTTCAGCTTTCAGAAGCTTGATTGCATTTAAGACTTCGGCTCTCGTTGGAGGATTGGTGTCAACTTGCAGTTGTGTTGTGCTGTTGTTGGTATTTCTGGACGGGTTGCAGGTGATGGTCGGTTCAAGAGTCCTTTGAAGTGATCCGCCCATTGTTTAATCTGTCTTTCTTCCTTGGTAATTGGGTTCCCTTGGCTGTCTTTTATAGGTTTCGCTTGTGTTGATCTCTTCCCGGATAGAGATTTGGTTATCTGATATAGTGTCCTCAGGTCCCTTTTGCCTGCTGCCTTCTCAGCTTCAGTGGCCAGGTTGTCGTAGAATCGTCTTTTGTCCTTCCTAGCACTCTTCTTCACTTCTTTGTCCAGTGCTGTGTAAGTTGAGCTCAGCGTCTCCTTCTCCTGTCCGTCCTTGCATTGAATCATTTTCTCTTTCACCATTCTCCTCTCTTCTATTAATTTCCAAGTGTCCGTTGAGAGCCATTCCTTGTCTTGTCTCTTCTTTCTTCCTAAAACGGTTGAACACGTTTCGTTGAAAATCGCCTTCAGAGACTTCCAATGTTCTTCCACGCATGATTCTTCAGTGATGTCGCGTAGTGTTTCCTGCTTTGCTCTGACAGTTGCAGTGAAGGTGTTTTTTGTGGTTGTGTCCTTCAGTTTTTGAGTGTTGAACTTGCATTGTGGCCTATCACCAGCTATCCTCGAGGCTTTTAGCTTCACCTTGAAAGTCCCTTGTACTAGATAGTGGTCTGAACCCACATCTGCTCCTCTCCTCGACCTTGTGTCCAGTAGGCTCCGTCTCCACTTTCTTGAAATTGAGATGAAGTCTATTTGGTTTTTGTTGCGTCCATCTGGTGAAATCCATGTCGTCTTGTGTATATCCTTGTTTTTCAACACACTACCACCAGTCACCAAATCATTGAAGGCGCAGAAGTCTGAGAAGAGTTCACCATTGTCGTTCATTTCCCCGAGGGCCTCTAGACCTCTGGGGAGTCCTCTTCCTGTGTTTTCTCCTCCCAGCTTCGCATTCATGTCGCCCATCAGGATTTTGATATCGCTATTTGGGACGTTGTCCATTATTGCTTGTGGTTGTCTGTAGAACGCCTCCTTCTTCTTTTGTTCTGAGACGTTTGTAGGCGCATAGCATTGAATGACTGTAACTTTCCTTCCTTTTGAGTTGAACCTGGCTGTCATTATCCTGGAGGAGATTGGTTCCCACTGCATGAGAGCTTTGGTTGCTGTTGGTGACATCATGATGGCCACTCCCTCGGTGTGCTCATGGTTGTCCTCTGCGTGGCCGGAATAGGTTATTGTCTCTCCAGTTGGTAGTTGGCACCTACCGCATCCGTTCCATCTGCTCTCACAGATTCCCAGCACTTCAAATCTATATCTCCTCATTTCTGCTGGTAGCTGGGCAGCCTTTCCAGTTTCGTACATTGTACGAACATTCCAGGTACCCATCCTTATTTTTGCTTTCATCGAAAGAAGGCACATCGGCTAACTGGCTTCCCGAAGGCTTTCATCAACCTGCGTCATTTCACTTCCCTGATTCCAGCGAAAAATAAGGCTATTGTTTATATTTTTAGAATTTTTAACATATTGGTGCATTGAAGTTTCTGTAGCGATTTGGTTGAGTTTTGGGGGTGGATTGGCTAGCACCACGCCCCAACCCTCCCTCTTTATCCGGGCTTGGGAACGGCTAAAAAGCTAGCGAGCTAGTAGTCTTGGCGAGGTTAATCTGGCTAACTAGTCTCCACGAAATGGGATGCCTGATAAACTGTTATGGCAAAGGTTTTTGTCTTCTTCTCGAAGTAACTGGATTTGAAGAACTTTTTTCTTATCAAGATAAAACGTTTTTCTAGTGAATTTCTCCTCTCATTAATCACACTGTCTTGTTGACGTCTTTTTTCCTAAATACAGATTGACAGTCATAACTTAGAAGAAGCAATTCTTGGTATCATCAAACCAGACTGTTTATCTTCCCATGCTGAACAAATGAGTCGATTGTCATCTATTCAACCGGATATTTCATGGTTAATACAATATTTAACTAGTCAGCTACAATTAATCAAAGAATCACAAGAGGAATTGGATATGCTAATGCTTAACATGCGTGTCACCGGGTCATCACCAGTTGATCTTTCAGAGCTGATCAATAAATCTTGTACTGATTCTAATCATAAAACAAACAATCAAAATGATTCCGACCAACAACAGCATAGATATTCGAATCATAAAAAGAATTTATCAGATGTATCCAATTCACAGGTGACTTCAGTATTATTACCCTCCTCTTCAGAAGCAAGTTCATCTATGCTTAGCAGGAATAGGAAACCAGCCTTACCATCACCACATCTTTCATTTCCAGAAAGTATCAACTCTGAGAAATACATGCCTAGAAATAATTTAAGCAGTACCAATAATAATAATCCTGAGAGGAATATAAATGAAAGCAATTCTGCACCGTCTATATTATATTCTTCATGGAAAATCATTAAACCGTTGAGTAATGTTCAGTGTAGACTAGGTGAAACGGTTCATCTGCAGTGTCAATTTAATGGTCCATTACGTGAAAGTGAATTCAGTGTTTCATGGTTTTATAGACCATTTCAATTTGTTAAAGGACAATTGAGTTATGGCGTGAAAGAACGCATCAATATAACAAATGATAATAATAATAATATGAAAGAAAATATTAGCGTGGATTTTGTCGAATTAATCATCAATAATATTTCAGAACAAAATGCCGGATTATACACTTTACGTATTAAAAATGAGAAAACTGGTAAAGCCATGAAAAGTAACGGTAAGCTGGTTTCTTTTGTCGTCTTTTTTGTGAGCACTTTATTATTTGGGAATATGCAACACCTTACTGCTTGATACGTGTTCAGTACTTGCCTTTTTTTTAGAAATGTTATACTAATGTACAGTTAGACAGAAATGTGGTCTGGAATTGTCTGTTAGAGAGAGGCGTACCGGAGAAATTCGGCCCACATGCTTTCATCTTTTCTACACATGACGCCCTCCAAGTCACCCTCGCACTGACGACCAACTTGCCGCTACCCTTTCGGGTTTCACTCAAGCGACGGCTTGTCTAGTGATGTCACTTGATAGTTTCCTCAGAGTATGGCCAGCCAGTGCATCTCCATTTCTTCCTGCTTATTTGATGCACAGTCGGTTCTCGCTGGGTTGGTTCACTCATTGCCAGAGATCTCTCCCTGTTGCTGATCTTTTATGGTCGGAAATCTGATCTTTAGTAGTGTTGAGCGAAGATAGCTGTTGATGAAGGTCTGTAGTTTGTTTGAAGTGCTCTTTTTATGACGCACCAAGTGTCTGATCCGTCTAGTAGGTAGCACTGACTCTAAAATGCAGTTGAAAATCCGGATCTTATTTTTGATGCTAATTGCTGTTGATCTCCACATGGACTTGAGAGTAATGAAACCTTGCCTGGCTTTCTGATCCTTGTTTTGTTATCCTCATCGATTCCGAGCGCCTGTAGTTGAAACGATGATTCCCATGTCAGCAGGTAAAGGAGGTTGTTTCTTTCAGGTTCCTCCCATTTATGCTGGCTGATTGTTGTCTGTTGTTGTTGCTGTTGGTGTTGGCCAGGAATCTTCATTATCACCTCTGTTTTCTTTATGTTTACTTGGAGTCCTATCTTCCCTGGATGCTTATTCTGCCAGCTTGTTGCTTTTCACGTGCATATCTTCCAGTTTGTGGGAATTCAGATATATATATCTTGGCAAAGTCCAGATCCTCCAAGATTTTGTGTGGGTGCATTTTATGCCTGTTTCCTCATTGCCCACTGTCTGTCGCATTATTCAATCTACTGCAATCAGGAAAATCATCGGCGATGCTAGGCAGCCTTACTTTACTCCCGTCCTCACTTCGAAGGATTCCGTAAATTTCCCGTCGTGGATTACTTGGCATGCACCATTGTCATACAACTGTTCGATGAGATGTATAATTGTCAATGGCACCACGGAGTAGCGAAGTAGTTTCCAAATCACTTCTCGATTGACACTGTACTATCGAAGGCCTTTTCGAAGTCGATAAAATTGATGTTAAAATTGTATTTATTATAGATAATGCAGAATCCATAAATCACAAATTCAGTTTCTGTTGGAGCAGTCTTTATCGTATTTTAATAAAGTTTGTTTGTTAAAACAAAAGTCTTAAAAAACTAGATAATGTTTCGGGCACAATATACTACTCATAATCATATCAGTGTATGCACGCCACTTGATAACTTGCTTTAATACGGTCTAAACCCTCGCTATTTTTTTTATTGTGGTTTTCTATATATCCTGGAAGGTGTTGTATTATTTCGATTGCGCGTATTTTGTGTTGATTTGATGAAAAAAAGATTCGCTAATTAACTTCTCTCTTTTTCTAACTAACTATATTACTTCCTAATACTTTCACCCTATTCCAACCTATTGCTGTGATTGATTCCATGCAAGTGAATGCATTGCAATGACCAAGTTATTTTCCACATCAATAAATTTATTATTGTTCCCTCAGGGTTCCGAATGGAAAATATGGCTTTGTCAGCACATCTCCACGTGCTTCTATAGTCTGACATCCTCTTCACTTGGCTGACCCCACGATTTCCCCGTAATCTATCGTCTCCTCTTCCCTAACACCCCAATGACCAACTCGTCGCTTCCCCATTAGCCTTTCACTCAAGCGATGGTCTGCATTGCGTGGGATTTCATTGGACAGCCTCCTCAACCTATGCCCAATCAATCCATCTGCATTTTCGCCTACATATTTCACGGAATATACACATTGGGTCATAGGAGTAAATAAGAAGACAGTTGCAGCGAAGAAAATTTTCTTTTCGACGAAGTCATCATCTAGGCTGTACATTCGTGTATTTATATCAAATGGATGGGAAAGTTCCAGAATAATATCCGGTCAAGGGTCAAATTAATAAAAATTAAAATTGTGAATTAGAATGCCATAATAAACAGGGGGATGGATAAAACAAATCATTTACAAGATTCGATCAAACCTATCAAAGGGAGTAAAATCAAGACATCTGGGCATAGCCGAGGCACTAGCTATACAAAAACTCAAACCCACGCTTTGTATACAAAAGAAATACGTCCAACCCCTGTCCTTGCCATGGCCATCATAAGCAGGTAATTTTTAGTAATCACCATCCCATCTCCTTTCTTATCTAAACTTCCTGTTTATTCATGTTATTTCAAGTTTTTCTTAATCCCTGTTTACACTACCATATTTTCATACCCGAACTTCGTGTTTATTTTGTCATTTTACTATTTCTACATATTTAATCCCTGATTGCATAAACAATTATTCATCACATTAGTTTTTATCCAAACATCCTGTCTATTTTGTTATTTCTACATTTCTAACCCCTAATTGCACAATATCAGTCTTCTTAGTTATTATAATGCTACTTTGTTTGTTTTATCCATCCCCCTGTTTATTATGGCATTCTAATTCACAATTTTAATTTTTATTAATTTGACCCTTGACCGGATATTATTCTGGAACTTTCCCATCCATTTGATATAAATACACGAATGTACAGCCTAGATGATGACTTCGTCGAAAAGAAACTTTTCTTCGCCTACATATTTGTTGAGCGATTGGCTCTTTCGTTGTTGTTTCGATGGAGGACAGAGTTTCTTGTTGCTATTTTTTTTATGGCCGACAAGATGGCCATTTGATTTTCAGTATGGAGTCAATGAAACTAGCTATTGATAGGAGTCTACAGTGGCGTGTTGTAAATGCTTTTTCTGATGCATCAAGCTTCCTTTAATTTTTGGCAGTGTGAGTCTTTTGTGAACTATCCAAATTCCTGATGTGTTCATGTCGTTTAATAGGCTCGAATAACCTCACAGTCAATACATGATATTTGGTAAAATATTAAAGCTCAGTCATTCCAGTACATTCATTCACATGTAATCACACAGTAGGGCAAGACGGTGTAACAACAGAAGACAAGGGCCAGGCAACAGATCGTTTTATTATGAAAATCAACACGTATTTATACATATTTCACATACATTATTATAGACAAGCGCAGTCATCTGATTGGTTGTTTATCAGAATTTAGGCAGCCAAACGCAGGCTTCTGATTGGTTGTTTCGGGATTCCTTGACAAATAGAGTTCTCTATCTGCGAATCATATTTTGCCACGTTAACTTTGCTGTGATTGGTTGTTGACTCAGCCTTGTTCATATTTTCTCACGGCTCATATTAACGTAGCTTAGTGTCAACCAATCGGCTAGCAGCCTGCTCTCACCACAACGGGATTGAAGTATTGACAAGTAATATTGCTCGTTGTAAAGAGGTTGAGAATATATAAAGCAAGTTATCAAATCATGCGAGTAATTTGATATGATTACGAGCATTAGATTGTTCTCAAAATATCTTCCAGTCTTCAATACTTTATTACCTACCGTATGTTAGATAAGATCAAATTATTTAATATAAAATTATAGTCTACCGTAATGCTCAAATTCTACTTTAACACCATCTTTTTTGACTGATTCAATATGTCCATTAAAATTTTTCGAAAGAATGAATACTGAACAAAGAATACTCTTTTCGATAACCCTTTCATCATCAGGCTCTACAGTTATATATATACATTATAGTGAATGAATGAATTAGTGTTATAAACAACATTAATGCTGTTTACATAACATCAAATCAATGATAATATTGATAGATTACAGTTCGATAACACCAATATAACAACACTACAGTGAATATCAGTAAAATTAGGAAAGATAACAGTACAGAATTCATGAATTTATAGTCTTCACTGGAGGCCGGCCTGGGCAGTATTAGTGACTGGCTGAACTTGCTTCTTTTTGACACAGAGCATTGATTGTTTCAGGGTGAATCGTGATAGACTCTGTCGTTTGGAGCATGCGGTGCTTCGATGTTTTCAGCATTTTATTTCGTACCCGGTAGATGATAGAGGAGGATATTTTCAATGCTAGCTGGCTTTATGGCCGATTTGAACCAGATGCTCTAATATCGAACTGTTGATGGTGTTTACTACACCTTTACTTTGTCACACTGGTAAATGTTCCCCAGTGAGCACGGAAAATGAAATCCGTAGAGCAACGGCCAGTATAACTTGCTCCACAAAATTAAGTTTACTCACCCAAATGCCTACTAATTTTTAACTGAAGTTGAGGGTCTTTTTCATATAAAACCTATTGATTTCATGATGTCCTGACTCAAGAAATAAAAACCACCCGTCCGAACTAGCATGGAGAAATTCAAACGAAACAGCTATTTAATTATTCATAAGTTTTTTTGTTATTATATTCAGCTTGACTGATGATGCGAATTACGTTGTGATAATTTAATTCCGTTCACTAAAGAAATACCAAAATGCTTTACTTTTAAGAAGGAAAGAAATTATCGATTGTAGGTTTGAAATAAGTCACTTGCATCCAGAAGCACAATGAAAACTTCCTCACTGAACAGGATTTCATCATGAGCTGACATTAGTTAGAGAACCATTGGAAAACCTGGGAGTTATGGACAGCTGTTTCGTCCCAGTTTGGGACTCTTCATCAGTACTCACCCACATTTCGGGGTTCGAACCCATGACCTTCTGGTTACAAGGCGAGCTAGCTCGTAGAGCATTTATCAGCCACTGGGACACAGTCCAATGGCCCATAAATCTTAACTTCTGCCAATACACGATATAGCGCGACCGCTAGCCAATGTCATCCCTGGCGAGTATTTCTCCTCACACATGACCTGCTGCACCCAACTGGTCACTGTTTAAGTGAAATTACTCTGTTATATGAATAGCCTAGTAAATATCCTTTAGAATATTTCACAACTACATGTATACCCTGTGATCAGCATAGGAAAGTTTATGGTCTAACACTTCAAAAAAAAAAACACTTCAAGAGATTTTCTCACAGTCAATTCCCAGCAATGACTTACTATCTTTAGAACTGTTTGGTTTAAAACCATTTACATGCAAGTCATCAAATTAGCTGCGCATCCCTGATTGTTATGATGTGCATTCGTTGTATTACAGTCTGAAATTGTTGACAACAAGTCAACTGGTATGACACAATCATACTCCCTGGGTTGCGTTATGCACAAGTTCGACAAAAAACCTCTAAGACCACGTTTCATGGATTTTATACCCAAATTACACGATAAGGATGTTTCAGGCAAATGCATTTATCCCCCTCTGAATCGAGAAGTTTATGCAAAGTAGACTTTTAAAAAAGGAGTTTTTTATGACTTTGCTTCTTGAATGATATCATATATATTCCTTTTGGTTTTTTGTATATAATTTTTAGCTACCTTAAGTATTATTCCAGTTATTATTGAAAATAAGTCTGATGTAAAAGGCGAAATTCTGGATCCTTCTACAGGACGTCTTAAACCAGTTACAATAACAGTTAATTATAATGGATTGTGTCTAATCCCAGCTGTGAAATGGACGTACAATGGTTCACCTTTAAATCAAACTATATGGCATACTGATACTGATGTGCATAGAAGTATCCTATTCTCATCAAATGCAAATGTTACTGATAAAGGAATTTATGAATGTGAGATAACAGATCTTGTGTCGAATACTAAACTGAGAACAAGAAGTAGGTTTTATTATTATTTTTTATTTATTTTCTATAAAAATAATTTAACTACTCGATTTCTACTCAATTCAATTGTTGGTTTGCAGGGATTTGATTGATTGGTTGGTTTAAGAACTTCACCATGAACTGATATCGGTTAGAGGACTGGTGGAAAACCAGCTAGGAATACTGGACAACCATCTGTTTCGTCGGCCTACTTTGGGACTGACTATTCAGCAGTAAGCGTCTACTGACAGGGTTCGAACCGACTACCTTTTGGTTACAAGGCTAGCGAGCTCGTAGACCATTAAAGCACTGGGAGCCGATCCAGTTAAGTTTGTTTCTCACCATCGGCTCTACACTAATATATAGTCGTTTTTTACATAAAAATATATTACCAGTTAAGTGTTTATTTTAGTTAACAAGTCTCAGTCAAAGGATGATGTGATTATGAGCCTCTTTTTCCTCCGAATGTGAAATGCTAAAAGTTTCCATTGTGTTTGATTATTATTGTTCGGAATAGTGGTTAATATTGCATATTTATATATATATATATTTTTAGTGTATGAGTATATTGATCGATTGATTTTTGTTTAAACTTAACTCTGTGCAAGTATGTTAAAATTGTTGTTGTAGATATATTTAATAATGTCTTTGCCATGTAAGCAGCTGACGAGAAGGCAACGAGATAAACAATGAAGGTACCATTTTATTCTGCTAAAACTGTAGTTCTTGCTTTGTTCAAATTCATTAAGGGGAATAAATGTATGAAATTAACTAATAGATTTTAATGACAAGATATCTAAGTTTTCAAGGAGGGACAGGTGGAAATTAATTACGGATTTCAAGATAACTTGATTCCTAAGCGTTCCCTTGGGTTCCTGGTGGAACATAGGGTTTCAACTGAACGTCTCCACTTGCCACTTCTGTCTTCTACTGTACTTTTCACCTGAATCCATGTTAGTCCATACTGTTTCGACTTCTCTTCACACGATCTTCTACATGTCACCCAGTGGCCTCCTCAGCGAGTGTCCAATCCATCTCTACTTTCTCCTGCATATTTGTTGGGCGGCGATTGGTTCTTGTTTTGTTTGTTCTCATAGTTTCTTGTTGGTGATTCTTTCCGGCCCCGCCATCTGATCTTCAGTATAGAGCCAGCGAAGACAGTTGTTGGTTGATAATGGTCTGCAACAGGCTGTTGGAAATATTCTTTGTGACACGCCAAGCGGCAAGTTTCTGATCCGTATAGAATAACTAACTGACTTCACGTTGTTGGTATTGAAAATTCGACTGGATTTTGTTGTTGATTCTGAGTGACGACGATTTTTAGATTGGAGGCGTCACCAATAAGTTAGTACATAATCAAGAGTTTTGTAAAATAGCACTGATGACTAAGAAAAATAGAATGACTCAGAATAACTACGTAAATTACAAACAAACAAGTTAATAGAACTAGCTACAATTGTAAACATTGTAAAATTTAACAAAGTCAAAAGAAAGTTATAAAAGTCGTTTTTAAAACTTAATACATACTGTGTAGTTGGTCATGGCAAAGAAAGGGGATGTACAAATTTCTTTTGAACTCACACGCAGATTTTGCTTCTTTAGATGAATTCCGACTGTCTCTGATGTATCTGGGAGTCGTACTCGTAGACCGTGGAGGGATGGGTTGAATAACATACGATAAATAAAAGCTTTCTTTGAGTCGAGTCGATGTCCAGTATCGACAACGAGATGAGCTACTATTGAGCTGTGTATGGCAGCTTTATTCGGACCTTTGCCGAATCAAGATGGGAGGTATTCAGAAATTCACAGGTGAACTTGCCTGATCGTACTACCTATGTAACTAGCTCCACACGGTTAGCTAAACTGGTTTAATACACATGGAAGAGGTGACACAGGGTAGTCTGTCTTTATATCTTGAACTAAGTATTGTTCAGCTAGTGAATATACAGCATAGCTTAGTTGCATAGAAAGTTCTTTTGAAGGCCTTTCTCAGACGTTGTGATAAAATCTCACTATTGACATCACCCGTGAATTTTTTGGGAACAGTGGGCACCTTCTGCTTTTTACTTTCTGAGTTCATATGTTTATTCACGAATTTAGATCTCGAATATCACCGGGTTCTTCTTTCAGTATGTCATTTGAACAGATAAATCTAGCCCGGTGAATCAGACATCTAATCAGATTACGTATGTATTGTAGAAGTACAAAGCTCAGGAAGTGAGTACATTGCCCAGTGGAAGTAGGCTTCCTGTGCAAACGTCTACGTATTGTTCCGTCTGTTCGTTTAGCCATTAGAACGTGCAAAAAGGCGAGAGAGAGTCATTTTCTTCTTACTACTATTCTTCAGTGAAGCTTATGCCAGAATGTGCTCTGTTGAATTCATACAATAGGTGCTTAGTCTCATTTTCTATCTTAACAACTATAAATGTATCATAGACATGTCTTGAAGAGGAGCATTCTCTAATTTCGCCTTGGAAAAATCTGCTGTGACTAGGCTTAGTGGTGATCTCATCTGATTGTCTATATATATTTCTTTATTGAACAGGAAGTTTACGTTCAATGTACATCTTAGAAGAAGTTCCTTTAGGGAACACAAAAGAATTCAGTATTGATTTTTTGACATTTCATCGTCTTAGTTACAGTCTGTCGCCTAGTATGTGACTCACTTTGTCATGGATTTTATATATAATTGTAAGGAAGATTTTAACCATTAGTATCTATTTAATAGAATGAGCATACTAGGAAATAAAGGAGTTATAATACTAGAAATACTAAATTCCAACCTCATAACAAACCAATTCATTAGCTGAATCGGAGTTCGATTCCTTGAAGGAAGGGGTGTGATGCGAAATTTAAGAGTTACGAGCTAAAATGAAGCTTCTGTTTTCTCCATCTAGGTTTGCTAGTTTACTATACAGTTTACTGCAATAATCAATCAAACAGTCAGAAGTTAAATGAAGCAAGAACAACAGTTTTTGCAGAATAACATGATATCATCAATGTTTATTTCGTTGGCTTCTCATCACCTAAGTTGATTCCTGTTTATCGGATAATGTGCTCCTTGGTGCAACCAAAAATCGACATATATCCTTCTTAGGTTAACTCCTACTGTGTATACAAATTTACATGTATCTAAGGGAGCAGTCACATTGGGAGAGCAGAAAGAAGGTCACATCCCTGCGATTTTTTCTGAACATGTACTGATAAGCCTATGTCTGAAGGAAATAAACGTTAAAAATAGTGTCAATGTCAGGCACCTCCTTGATACGGGTCATGAGGTGGAAATCGCAAATTCCTTTAAAATTATCAATAGACAAAGTAGGCGAATTCTCGTCAGGTTTGTTGAAGCAATCTCTATTAAACGCCTGAAACCCGATTCATGTGTGTGTGTGTGTGTTCAGAAAGAAGCAGTTAGTATTAGTTTTTCTTTGCCCTGCCTGGTAACTGGATGCCTTCACCATCTCGCTCATTTGATTAAGTAATCTTTGGCTTCAACCTCACCCCACCCAATTCTATATAGTGTAATTATGTATGTTTGTCTCTCATATCCATAGCTTGAGTTGAACTCAGTACATTGTTACGCAATTAATAATAGTCACCCATGATTCTACACACCTCTCATCTTTATTACATGACTCCTTTGCCATTGTATGGATGCATACGTTTACTATGTTTAAACTTGGACTTTTTGGGTATTTTAGCTATCTAATTGGGATTTCATTTTTGAGAGGTATACAGATCTCGGACAACTGTAAGATATTTTCATTACTGCTTCCATGACATACATTACTATTATTATTGGTACAAGTTATGCTTTAATTATAACATTATAATGTATTCTATTAATTTTGTGTAACGTTTAATTTGTTCTAAAATCTATTTTTAAAGGGTCTTTATTGATACAACCGCTAGTTCCTGTCAAAGAACAGTCGTCTCTTGTTTTCAATGATACCAATGGAACTGTAGGCATAGTGTTTGCTGGTGATCCGATAGCTATACGATGTCCTCTACCATCTGTAATAAAACCTGGATCGAATATCATAGTTAACTGGATACAAAATGAGCAAATCATTTATTCATACAACACACTGGTTCCACGACAACAACAACAACACAGTGTTCACAGACTGATCTCCAGTAAATTGGTAACTTTTGAAAGTAATCACTTTCAGCATAATGAAACAATATGGAGGACATACTTGCTGGATAATCATTGTGTCCTAACTACAGATTGTGTTCATAATACAGATGAAGGTGTTTACAAGTGTCGAATAAAAGCTGACTCCAGTATCTATGAATCCTCAGGTGAGTAGAATGAACAACATAAAGAATATCTCAACAATATTTTCCGAATAAGTGATGTACTAAGCGATAATAAGATATATCGTCATTGGCACAGTCGGTATATCACTGTTGACTTTATTGCTGCCTCACACAACACCTTGGAGAGTATGAATGATGTTCATAGTAGGGATATGTCGCTTGAGTTTTACGCTACTGAAATTGCTACGGATTGGTTCCATCATCCGTTTGTAAATATAGACCTTTGTTTTAAATATTTTGAAGTGTCTTACTGTCTGATGTGGAGACATTTTCCAAACTACTAAAAACAGTTACTTAGTAGTATCATAGATATTATATGTATATATGCGCATATAGCAAATAGTTCCTTTCTTAATTCTGCTGTCGAAGATCAATTGATGCAGGCATGGTGTTACACTGTGACGGAGAGTGAAATACTGAATGAGGTTCAAAGCGCTCCATAGCTGAGATTCATTTCATAAGTGATGTTTTACACATTCCTGTACCGGAATAAAAGTTTTCAATATTATAATGCTTCATACAGCGAATAGTACTGACGCACACCTGATATCAATTAGTCGGGCTGCAAAATTTGGGCTACCGATATCACATGGTGCGTCGTTGATATAGTGGTTAGGGTAATCGCCGACCATGCACATGATCCGGCGTTCGATCCCCGGCCACCAACGCACTCCTTTACCTTGCTAAGCCAGAAATAATGCTAGTAAAGAGGAAAGGTTGGACCTGAGGCTAGCAACCCCATCCTGTAAAAATAAACACCAATGCTACAGAAACTTCAAGCCACTACCTTGAAGCCCTATGTTCCACTGGGGAGAGTGAAGCAAAAAAAACGGTATACCTTATGACAACACCACACACTGGTTTGCTTTCTATTTCAACTACAATCATAACAATGATAATACTGTCCTGTATGTAAATCAAAACGCTTTTTCTGTAGGGGAAGCTTATTAGCTTATTTGGCTTACAGTATCAATTGGCGTTAACTGGATCGTGTTAAGTGACACTCCTCTAAAATCCCAAATGCAATTGAAAGTTTGGAGACAATTTATTTAGAATATATATATATATATACATATATATGGTTTAAATCAAAACAAGATTTTGAGCGAACAATTGTGGTTTCGATAACTTCTTCAGGCTCTACAGTTATAAATCCATGAATAATAGATTACACATATAGCCAATAAAGGCAAATCAAAAATAATATCAGAAACTTGCATTGGGGTTTGCATGTGTAAGTTGAGATGATAGTCGTCCATTAGTTAACATAGTCAATCAAATGTGTATAGGGGGTGTATAGTCAGAAAAAATGTGAAGTGTGAATGAACAATTGGGTGGTATATAGTGTTGGGTGGGAGAAATGCGATAACCACTAAATACATATAAATACACATTAACAAAGGAGGCACTGAATCTGAGGGCTGACCGACAATGTCTTCACTACAACAATGCTACACACGAAATAAACATATGTCATCTTGTTTTGTCCTATTTTTTTACATAAATAAAATTGTAGTGGTGTGATGCAGATAATGGGTTCCAAGGGAATATTGATTCTCACCGTAAGAGTCATTGTATTTGTTGGTTGGTGTTCACGTCAGAATACTATTTCCAAAGTTTATTAGTACATTAGCAATAGAATACTATGTGTATTGTCTGATTCATAAGAAAGGGGTTTGTTTTGATTTTAAAAATCATCTGTGAACACAAATCGATGATGTACACCACGAAATTCATTCATAATTTATCTAAACTTTTTCAGTGTCTAGGTACAAAACAAAAAACAACAATATTATTACAGGATTTCATCATGAGCCGACATTGGAAAACGAAATCTCAGCACGAATACAGGGGGCTCGTTTCGCATTTTCCAGTTTACGCCGACTCCGGCGTAGACGAGATGTTAGACTATCTGCAATTGATAGTGTTCTCTGAGCTCCTTGGTTTAATTGCGGAGCTTTCATCGTCTTTCTGGACGACATCTTCAGCGCAGTATTTAGGATAAAGTGAAATGATTTAAATTTCTTCATGAGTCTCCCGGTAACCATCTTTAGATATTTATTGACCGTTTTCTATTGTCGTCCAGAAAGACGATGAAAGCTCCGCAATTAAACCAAGGAGCTCAGAGAACACTATCAATTGCAAATCATCCACCTGAGTTACAAATCTTTTCTATTATGTTAGACTATCGACCAAAGGGCGGGTGTACTGCTCATCAGTCCGCTCCGTCCTCCTTTATGGTTGTGAGACCTGGCCACTGAGAGTGGAAGACATGAACAGCCTGAGTGGATGTCTTTGATCATAGGTGCCTGCGCTCTATTTCCCGTGTAAAGTGGCATAATAACGTGAGCAACATTGAGGTTAGGCGTCGAGTTCTAGGTAAACAGGGGAAATCAATCGATGAAGTCGTGAAGTTACAAAGACTGAGATGATTAGGACATGTGTTACGTGCGTGTGCCTAGTCATCGCCTTCCTCGACGAGCAATGTTAGCGGATATAGGGTCAGGCTGGAAGAAAGCTAGCGGCGGTCAAACAAAAACTTGGCCTCATCAGTCAATGAAATCCAAAACAGTTGGTCTAAGCCAGTCAGCCACGTAGGAAGGTGTAGACTTCCAGGCTGGGGCCCTCGGGACGGTAAAAAACATATGGTTGGAAACAATTGGTGACATGGCTCAAACTCATCGTTCTCAGTGGCGCAGATGCATCCACTCCTTGTGACTTATGATCTCCAATGAAACTGTTTTGTTCTTCGTTATTACTCCTCCTTTGTCTCACACCTCTGCTCACTGTTTCTATTATGCTTTTCTTGTACTTTTTTCTCTTGCTTCGCGTGCTACACGGAGTGTGGCGACTTGAACTTCCGCACATTTGTGTAAAGTTCTATGTCGAAAACAGACAGACAGACAGACCTGGGAGTACTGGACAGCTGGTTATTTCGTCCTAGTTTGGGACTCTTCAGTAGTACCCACCCACCGGGATCCGAACCCAGGGCATCCTGGTTACAAGGCTAGCGAGCTCGTATACCATTAAACCACTGAGACCCGATCCAATGGCCAGTACATGAATTCTAACTTCTGTCAATTAACGACATAGCGTGACCCCTAGCCAACCCCAGGTTCTATTGCCCTATTCAGGTAGGTAGTTACCTGGGGTTCTAGTGAGAAGTCGTGACCAGTAGGGTGCAGTAGGTCGAGTGTGAAGACGAATACTCGCCGAAGACATCGGCTAGGGGTCGCGCTTTGTCGTTAATTGACAGAAGTTAGAATTCATGTACTGGCCATTGGACTGGGTCCCAGTGGCTTAATGGTATACGAGCTCGCCAGCTTTGTAACCAGGATGTCCCGCGTTCAGATCCCTGTGGGTGGGTACTACTGAAGAGTCCCAAACTAGGACGAAATAACCAGCTGTCCAGTACTCCCTGTGGCAGGTTTTCCAATGGTTCTCTAACCAATGTCAGCTCATGATTAAATCCTGTAACCAATCAACCAAATCCCTACATACCAACACTCGAATAACAATATTATTAGTTGTTTATGATTCTAAATTATGAGTAGTGTTGTGCATTGTTGATATCAGCTTAATATAAAAATTATTCATTTATGCCACTGTCCTGTTTTAATGTGAATGTGAAATCTCTTTGCATATTTATTTTAGTGTTCTTTAATTTAAAATAATATTTTATATCATTTTATTCAGCTGCTGTGCAGGTGTATGTGTAACTCGCGATAAGTAAGATGAGCTAAACGGTGCAAAGGTTATTTGGTGTACTAGTACTATTACTCTGTGCTGTCGTTATCTTTCGTTCTTGTTGTTTTCAATGTTGTTTATAAATCCGTTTTACTGTGTTTTGTGTTGTGTTCATTTTTCGAGTATCTTTTTTTTCCTTTTTAGAATGTTTATTTGTCCTACTATTTGAAAAAAACTGGAACTAACTGTAAACATTATCAGTGTTAATCATTTAGTGGGGAAGGCGGGTTTGCGGGAAGGGTGTTCTAGATCTAATTCATGCCTTAATCAGTATTCTTTACCAGGATATGCCTTAATTAAGCGTGAATGTTTTGAAAATTGAAGGCATAACCCTTCACACTGTGCAACATGGGTTAGAGTGTTGAAGCGAACAGGAGTTTTTTTTTCTCTCAGAGATTTACACTCAACAGGAAAGTGTATTTACAAAGTCTATGGCTTCCTTCTGAGTTATTTCAAACAGCATCTTATATCATAGCATATAATGTACCACAATGTTCACCAGTTCCCTTATCACACATTGATTATTGCCTTGTCCAACTTGCTAACATCCGCACTGGTTTCAGTGATGCTTCCATTAAATGAAATCGTATTGACTTCTAATATAAGATCACTCAGCTGTCTATCTCAACTTCCTTGACTTTGAATAGGTCTTCAGCAGACAGTGTCGATCGAGCGATGATTTGGCAACTACTACACTACTACTTCTAAGGGGTGCCGCCAACAGTTATACATCTTATCGAACAACATTGTACAGTAATGCTGCATGCCAAGTAATCCATAGTGGGAAACTCACGGAATCCTTCGAAGTGAAGATAAGAGTGAGACAAGATTGGCTGGCGGCAGACTGGATAATGCGACAGACAGAGGACAACTACGAGATGGGTGTGAAATGGACCCACACAGAAAACATGAAGGATCTGAACTTCTCTGATGATGATGATGATGATATATGTCTGATTTCCCATAAACTGGAAGATATGCAAGTGAAAAGCAACAATTTGGCAGAAGCATTCAGAGAAGATAGGTCTTCAGATAAATGTAGAGAAAACAGAGGTGATGAAAATTCTTGGCCAACACCAACAGCAAGATAAACGGACAACAATCAGCATAAGTGGGAGAAATCTGAAAAAAAAGCAACTTGGGAGGTATCCTTTCAACTACAGGCCAACAGAACTGATAGGAAATCAAAGCAAGGATCAGGAAAGAAAGACAAGCTGTCATTACTCTCACGTCCTTGTGGAGGTTAGCAGCAATCAGCATGAAAAACAAGATGCAGATTTTCAACTGAAATGTGAAGTCAGTGCTACCTACTAGACGGTTCAGAGACGATGCGTCATGAGGATCACTCCGAAGAAACTACAGGCTTTCATCAACAGCTGTCTTCGCTCAACACTACTCAAGATCAGATGTCCCGCCAGAAAAGATCATCAACAGGGAGGGATCTCTAGAAATGAGCGAACCAATCCAGCAAGTACCAATTGTGCAACAAGTGTGCAGGAAGAAATGCAGGTGGAATGCATTGGCAATACTTTGAGAAAAGCATCAAGTGAAACCACACGCCAGGTGATTGCTCTAGGTGAAACCCGAAAAGGAAGCGGCGAGTTGATCTTCAGTATGAGGGTGACATGGAAGAGACCGTGTAAAGAGGAGATGAGAGTATGTGGGCAGACGTGGGGCCAGGTGAAAACGTTGACAGAGAGCCGAACGCAGTGGAGACATGCGGCTGCAGCCCTATTTTCCTCTAGGAATTAGAGAAAACAATAATAATGTTGGAGTGAAGTTCATCGAACCAGCCGGTGTCTGTGTAGAAATCCTGTTTTTTTTTCAGTGAGATTTAATGTCTATAAAGTATGTTTTGTTTTGAATAGTCGTTGTGGAAGTATGTGTTGTTCACTGTGGTGTTTGTTGGCGGTGGTGGATTGGATTTTGTCGTTCACTTCTCCTTTTATTGATTTCTTCAGTTATTGTTTCAACTAATATCTCATTAGATAATTTATGTGATCAGCATTTGTTTGAATGCATGAAATCAATTAATTGTGTGTGTGTGTGATTATGAATTGTATCCTGCGTAATTGTAATATTTTGAAATATGACTGACTCTACTGGGTGTATTTCTGCGAATATCAACGTAGTAGTGACCGCCTTAAATGAAGTCGTAATGAAGCATTATTTTACTGCATCACTATTTACTATTCTTCCTTAAGGTTTACTGTAGTTTCATAGTGTCTATTTTCGTGATTCAACCGATATAATTCACTTTTCACATAGAAATCTGGAGCTTTGTTAGACGAATCGTTTAAGAGACACGGTATTCAGATGGGGTTACTTGGAAGAACAGCGTAATCTGAGAAGACAAGAGACAGATGTGTGTAAAGTAGTTAGACGCATGTATGAGACTGTGTTTCTGTGAACCTACCAACTGTTGATGTTCAATGTGATGAATAGTTGTAAGTCTAGAAAACAGAAGGATTAAGCGAAGAAGTGTTGTACTTTTCCCTAACATTCTCATCTATACCACTGCTCTAATGTATATATCTATAGACAGACACTGGTTGCATTGATTTCTTCTGAATACAAAGGTTTGGCTTCTTCTGGGAAATTCTGATCACTTCAGCTGCAAGTGGAACAAGAACTCGTAATGCGCAAATAAACATTAGTCTCAGTGAGATGAACAATGTTGAATGTTTTATTGACATCAACTTTATGCTCACTATATGTAAGGTGTCCTGAAACAGATATGAACTGATTACGCTTGTACCTTTGTAACTAGAGAAGATAGGGGCCAGGAAACAGATCGTTTATTTACGAAATCAACAAATACTTATAGATTTTCATGTACATTATTATTATTCGTTATTGTGAGCAAACAAACACAGTCTCCTGATTGGTTGTTTCTCGCTGAACGTTAATCTTTCATCTCTTTGTGACCGTTTCTTGAAAATGAGATCATCTATCTGGTAATTGTATCCACCTACGGAAAGTTTCCTGTGATTATTTGTTGAGTCAGTCTTTGTTCTTAATTTTCTCATGACCAGTATTAGGGACGTACACATTAACGTAAATTACTATCTACCAATCTGGCTAGCAGCCAGCTCACACCACACTTGGTTCTAGGGCTTTGTTCGTTTGTCTTGTTGTCTAGAATCTTGGAACTCGCTGATGTTCACCTGTTTCTCTTTGTTAACCATTGTGATTTTGTCTGCGTAACCCCATCTCAGAGTGACCATATGTGATCCTTCTCACTTGGAAAACTGTTTGTCTAACCCTGTCCTATATTCTCTCTACCTTCCAGCAGCGTTCCAAGTAACAGCCTTATCGCTGACAGATCTTGAACGCCACTCAACTGTGCAGAAGCCTCGAAATCCTTCCCGAAGTTGCATATGTCTCCATCAAATAACTTCAGGGCATAGGCTTTTTAATTTGTCGGTAGACAGCGACATCAAATGTGACAAGAGAAGATAAGGCCCAGGAAACAGATCGTTTATTAAGGAAATCAACAGATACTTACATATTTTCATGTAGATGATAAAAGTTAATTGTTAGTAGACAAACACAGTTTTCTGATTGGTGGTTTCTCAATAAACGTTAATTTTTCATCTCTTGTAGTTGTTTCCTGGATGTCAGATTATCTATCTGAAAATTGTATCAGCCTACGAAAACTCTTCTGTGATTAGTTGTTGAGTCAGTCTTTGTTCTTATTTTTCTCACGAATAATACTTGGGACATGAACACTGACGTAAATTACTGTCCACCAATTTTGACTAACAACTAGCTCTCACCACACGCGTACATAGTTGAGAACTCGGTTGTCTTCATAATCTCTTTTGGATTTCTGTAGAAATCTGTTAATTAAAATAAGAATACAAGCTGTTTACTTATTCATTCAGACATTTAGCGAAAATAAAATTGGGCAAAGAATATCCTTTTCGATAATTTTCTCTTCTAACTCTACAATTATATCATGCTTATTTACGTAGAATATTCTAGAATAGTCGTCACTAACGACATTGGTGTTTTTTTGAATAGTATCAATTTGTTGGGTAAAGTCAATGGAATAACCACAGTTCACGAATGTCTCTAAATGAAGAGTTTACTATTATTAGATAGTTGATGAGTGAGAACGATTTTCCAAAGAAATTCATCGATAAGAATATGAATCAAAAGTCAAGACAGGACAAGAAACCAACAGTTCGAAAAAGGCGCTGTTTTATACAACTTAAGTTCCTCAGGGATAACATCAGTGAGATATTAAAACAATGCTTAGGGAATACGCCGGTAAAAAAGAGTATTCAGGGCTGCTGAATTATGCTGTGTCTTCAAAACCACTCCCAATTTGCTTTCTGGATATGAAGATAGACTGCCTAATTTCGCCTTTTCTATGTGCATCTACCCAATTTGACTGCTCCTATGGAATGAGCCATTTACTTCCATATGCCGTACAATTAGGCGTGTTTATCGTAGGATATCCAAACATCATCCTGCATGGTTGTTAGGTAGGGGACAAACGAAATCCATTCACAGCTCTATTCTACCTCATCTCATGGATACAGAACACAAGACTGAGGCGGCTTTCAAAGTCAACTCCCTCATACCAACTAATCTTAACTTTAGCTTCTTAGTGGTTCATCTGTTACACATTACTGAGGCTGGTTGTTGGGATTCACACTAAGAAACCTAATTCATGTATCCAAAAAAAGTTGGTTCAGACACTGTCCTTCTCTATTCTAGAATATTCTACGTGTATAAACATACATATGTATAATTGTAGAGCCAGAAAAGGAAATTACTTCTGTACTTGTTGTCAGTTAAACAGGTCAACTGTGGTTTTGTCTCTTGTATATTTTTTATTTTGGTGTTGTTTTGCCTGTTAATGTCAATTGACGTCTGTAGTATCTGGGGTATGCTGCAATGCATTTTTTTGATGTCCTGTGATCAATGTTCGTAATGAATCGAAATCTTTAAAACAATGTCGAATTTTTATTGTTTTTTTTTAAATCAATAATTTTCTTTTTCTATTTGTAGGACCATTAACTCTAGTCAAAGCTTTAAAATTCTCTAAACACCTACCAGACATATCAAGTGTTTGTGAAGGTGATAAGATTAAACTGGAATGTCAGCTTGAAGCTATCCCCTTGAATGAATACAAAAACACCAGTTTTATTAGTCATAAAGATAATAGTCCTATAGATCATAACATCGCTTCTCCATCATCAATATCATCTTCATCAATATCAATATCACCATTAACAATGACAACAACAACAACAACTTCATCACCATTAGTTACAACAGGTTGCTGTTGGGATCAATTATCTTTAAAAATCAATTGGTATTTTAACAAATTACTATTGAACATTGAAGAAGCTAAGAAATTAAGCATAAGTACAAGTTTTGACAATGGATTGCTCACTTTACTGATTGATAATGTATCGTCTATACATGAAGGTGATTATTGTTGTGAAGTAACAACTTCAGAAGGTGTCATTCAAACGAATGGAAGATTGGTAATAAGATGTAAGCATGCATATATTGTTGATTTTTTTCACAATGTATATCCACCTGCAAGAGTTGAAAAAAAGTGATTGGTAGACTTTGTAAGCTTTCGATAATGCAAATAGTTGATATATTTAACTATTTAACATTCTCTAGGATTTATTTAATTCAGTTTTAGATTTTCCCGTCGATTGATTGGACCCCCAAGTGCTCGGTCTCAGGCTGACATGTTGGCTTCTTGTGCAGATGCTCCAACAATGTCTGGGAATTTAATTGGTGGATGGTGACTAGCAGTGGAATCCAGGATAACGCGCATTTTGTCCTATTTAGGACTCTCTACACGACCGATGGTGCTACCTTGACTGAAAGATGAAGTACCTAGACTAGACTAGCCACTTCTAATTGTATCTACCGATTCAACTGCGCTGATGGTGGAGCGAGTTATATTGGCCGTTGCTCTAGGAACTTGATGTTTCGTGCTCGCTCGATAACATCTCCCAGTATGGCTAAGTAAAGGTGTAGTGAAAACCATCAACAGTTTGATATTATACCATCTGGTCCGAACCGGCCAAAAGTCATCTTGGAAGAATCCTTCTCTATCATCATCTACCGGGTGCCTAATAAATTGCCAAAATCATCGAAGCACCGCATGTTTCAAACAACAGAGGTTATCGCGATTCGCGTGAAACAACCAGTGCCTTCAGTAGAGACAATAAACTCATGAATTTGTAATATTATATTTCCTAATTCTTCTCTACATTCAGTTTATTGTTATATTGATGCTATTGAATTGAAGTTAGAATTCATGTACTGGCCATTGGATCGGATCCCAGTGATCTACAAGTTCGTCTTGTAACCAGAAGATCGTGGATTTGGACCTTGGTGGTCGGTGCGTACTGCTGAGCAGTCCGAAACCAGGACGATACAGCTGTCCAGTAACCCCAGCTGGTTTTTAGTGGTTCTCTAACTAATATCACCTCATGATGAAATCCTTCATCCAATCAAACAAAATCCCTACAAAACCAATAATTGAAAACAAAATATACATAAGAAGACAGTTGCAGCGAAGAAAATTTTCTTTTCGACGAAGTCATCATCTAGGCTGTACATTCGTGTATTTATATCAAATGGATGGGAAAGTTCCAGAATAATATCCGGTCAAGGGTCAAATTAATAAAAATTAAAATTGGGAATTAGAATGCCATAATAAACAGGGGGATGGATAAAACAAACAAAGTAGCATTAAAATAACTAAGAAGACTGACATTGTGCAATTAGGGGTTAGAAATGTAGAAATAACAAAATAGACAGGATGTTTGGATAAAAACTAATGTGATGAATAATTGTTTATGCAATCAGGGATTAAATATGTAGAAATAGTAAAATGACAAAATAAACACTAAGTTCGGGTATGAAAATATGGTAGAAATGTAAAGGATTAAGAAAAACTTGAAATAACATGAATAAACAGGAAGTTTAGATAAGAAAGGCGATGGGATGGTGATTACTAAAAATTACCTGTTTATGATGGCCATGGCAAGGACAGGGGTTGGACGTATTTCTTTTGTATACAAAGCGTGGGTTTGAGCTTTTGTATAGCTAGCGCCTCGGCTATGCCCAGATGTCTTGATTTTACTCCCTTTGATGGGTTTGATCGAATCTTGTAAATGATTTTGAAGGATTTTTCGAGTGGCGCTGAATGTCCTGAATTCACCAGGTGTTCTGTCACCGAACTATTTACCCGTTTTCGTTCTCCTTTTACTAGCCAGGCTGGATAGTGTTCACGAGCGCGTTTTTCAAGTCGGCGCATGGTACGGCCAACGTACTCAGCTCCACAAGAGCAAGTAAACTGGTATATGCACGTTGAGGTGGCCCAATGCGACAGCTTGTCTTTCGCGTTCTGGCTGAACAGTTTCTTGCAGGAAAACGTCAGTCGTAGGCTAGCGGCGAAGTATGTTTTCCTCAGCGATTTTGAGAGGCGTCTGCGAAGGATTTCTGCTTCAATATCACCTTTGAATTCTAGATTAAGCAGAAGCATTTTCTTTGGGACGGATTGGACTTGTTCAGAAGTCTTCTTAGGTTTGAGATTCTTTTCTATGAACCTGGGCGGGAAACCGTTTTCCATCAGGGTTTTTCGAAGATTACGCAGTTCTTCTTCAACCACTTCCTCGCTGCATATCTTCCGAATCCTCGAGGAAAGAGCGTATATCAGGTTCCTCTTTCTGCTCAGGGGCACGAAGCTTTGAAAGTTGATGAATTGTCCATTCCATGTAGGCTTTTTGTATATGGACCTTTTCAGGGAGTTGTCGGCGTTTCTTGTCAGATGGACGTCGAGGAAGTGGAACATTCCGTCGGATTCAGTCTCAAGTGTGAAGTCGATGTTTGGGTGGGCATTATTGAAGATTTGAAGTAGGTTTTTTAAATCACAGTTCTCATCACAAATAATGAAAGTATCATCGATGTATCTCTTGTAGAGATGGAGGTCGTTGATAGTTGTTGATAAGGCGTTGTTCTCTAAGCTAGCCATAAAGCAGTCGGCTAGAAGGGGTCCTAAGGGAGAACCCATTGCTACTCCATCTACTTGCCTGTATATTTCTTTGTTGAAACTAAAGTATACGTTGAAGGTGCATCGAAGTAACAGTTCTTTCAGGTAATGAATTGGTATATCGACATTGATGTTATTGGATTCAATGTAGTCACAAAGGAAACATACGGTTTCTGTCAGTGGAACGTTGGTGAAGAGAGACACGACATCCAGGGAGACCATTTTCTTTTCTGCCACATTGACATTCTTAATTGAATCAACAAAGTCGAATGTGTCGCGAAGGTTATGTCTTGACAGCTTCTCTTTCACCGGCCCGAGAATCTCCACCAGCCATTTCGCGATTGTATGATATGGGGAATCTATCATATCTAGTATTGGGCGGAGTGGGACGTCTTGTTTGTGTACCTTGGGTAAGCCGTACATACGTGGCGTTGTAGAACCAGATGGGCGCAGTTGTTCGTATAGCTTTGAACTGATAATGGATTCGTCCTTCATTTTCTTCAATATCTTTGTTAGCTGGAGCTCCGTCTGTTCAGTGGGATCTTTCTGTGGAGACTGTTTCTGAAACTTTTTATCATCGGATAGTATCATCGAGAGTTTGCTTAGGTAGTCTGATTTGTTCATCAGGACGATTCCGGAGCCTTTATCTGGTCGCGTGATGATCAAGTTTTCATTATCTTTCAGTTCTTTCAGCTCCTTTCGATGTTCTTTGGAAAGGACGTTACGGAGGCTGGGTTTTTTGTTGATATAATCGAGACAGCAATTTAAAACGGTTGATATACATACATAAGACAAATTGCAAAACCGTGTAACTAAAATAGATTGATGATTATGAGTGGCAATAGTTTATGCTCAAAACCTTTTCATTCAATTGTTAATACTGCATCATCAACATCACTGTGGGTTAATTAAAATGATAAAAAACTAATTTGTTAGACTTATGTGATGATGATTCCTTTTGTATAGAATAATAAGCTAGAGGACCATTGAAAACCAGCACTGGAGTACTGGACAGCCAGCTGTTTTATTCTAGTTTGAGAATCATCGGCAGTATGCACTCACCACAGTGGGGTTCGAATCCAGGACCTTCAGGTTACAAGGCAAGCTCGTTTACCAATCAGTCACTGGGCCCCGATCCAATGGCTTTGGTAGAAGTTGACAGAATTCATGAGCTATCCATTGAATCGGCTCCCAGTGGGTGAATGGTATATGAGCTTGCCGGAAAATCCTGAGTTCGAACACTGTCGGTGGGTTCATACTGACGATGATTCCTATACTAGAAGTGAAACAGATGGTTGTCCAGTACTCCAGTGCTGGTTTTCAATGGTTCTCTAACTGATATCAATCCGTAATCAACTCGTAAAAAGAAACAAATCAAACTATATAAAACAGAATAATAAGCTTAGTGCCAGATGACTCACTGTGTTAAGAAATATAAAAAAATATTTCAATTAACTGTGTCTGTCTGCTCATATTTACTTTGCTTTATTTAATACTTATGTCGTCAAAAAATTTGTTAACTCCCCTTACCTTTTATCCAATCTATTTCAATATCAATAAAATATTGGGGATATTGGGAAAAATCAATCCAAAAGCAAATACTTCACACTCCAAGTCAATAGGGAATAAACCTAAAATTATTGGGAAAATCAAAAAATCACATGATCCAATCTTTACTAATGAATCGCTAGTATTGACTGTCACTTACATGTCAGATTCTATTCCTAAAGTTGCCTGGCTAAAAGATGATGAAAAAATTAGCGTCAACAGTTCTCGTTTAAAGGTGAGTCCCGCTTCACTTAATTTCACCTCTATTTCACATGATTTCTTTCATACAAGTCAAACAATAGACATAGGTCTTCTTTTTACAAGTCTAGCTAGTTCTAATGTTATTTCATGCATTTATCTCTGAAAGATGGTGGCGAATTTGAAGTTCAAAGTCTACAGTAGTTATAATAATAATAATAATAATTTGCTTTATTCCATATTAGTACTTGTGATACAGAATGGAATTCTCAGCATTTTATTACAGTATTGCATCCAGTTAGTACATTAACAATAAATAAAATTGTACATAGATTGTAGGTAATCTTAGTTAGTTTTGACAACAGCATATTGGCATGTCGGTAGCAAAGTCAAAAATGAACAAAGTGCTAGGAGGTGTTAGAAAAATAGATGCTAGCATATTTACTGACGTAAGCGGTAACAAAATGGTCGAGATATACAGAATGTGAAAGAACGAAGAAGAAGGTTTTAAGTAGAGTTTGTAAGGAAGAGAGAAACAAAACAGCACATAACAGAAAATAGAGAGAGAAAAGGAAAAGAAAGAAAGAAAACATTGTACTTATAAATGATATGAGTTGGAAAGACGAGATCCAGTTGTTCTGCTGACTATTTAATAAGTTATAGGTATCATGCCTAATGCTTTCTTTATCGCACAGAACACGAGCTAAGTAGGTTATGGTTGAGTTTTTGTACTTACTAGTGCGAGCATATATTTTTCTATATAGGCTTCTGGTTCTGCCTGCCTGATGAGATACAAGGGGAGAGTTCTGAATGAAGAGGGTGGTGGTGTGAGTTAGATAGATAGAATGGATTTAGGCCATTTTTCACTTGAGTTCAAGTGCCTGTCTACCAGAATATTAACAAGGTGGTTAAGTGGTACATTGCTTACCCTACTGACAACCTTTACTATCCTACCTAAGAAGATATAGTCCTTTTTCAGTAGCCCAGGAACAACTAAGGAGGAACAACAGAGAATAATAGGCAGAATGCGGGAGTTAACGAATCGTAGGAGTTAGGGTTGGGTTACTCCAGAATGTCTTAACTTCCTGATTTAGAAGGTAATACGGAATATTTTCTTAGAAATCATGAAGATATGAGACGACCAGGAAAGATCAGCAGATACAATGACGCCAAGAAATTAAATTTCCGACTTGTTCTCTATTTCAGTGCCATCTATGTTGCACACCTCGTGAGTGTGCTGACCACTTTGTCTAGGTCAGATTTATGCCTAGAGGTGAAATTGACTGTTTGGCATTTGGAGGGATTTAAGATTATACCGTTTTCCTTGGATCACTGGCTGATTTCTGATTGAAAGCCATTTAGTTTGAAGCGGTCACTTTGACATTTGACAGGCAAAGATACAGTTAGGTCATGGGCATATTTGACAAAATTAATGTCATTTGAAGATGATAGGTCATGTAGAAGACTAAAGAGAGAAGTGGGTAGAGTAAAGCACCCTGGGGGACAACCAGCTATACTAGTGTGAAGAATTACACTTACTAACCAGTGTCGTTTATTATATAACTTTTCACGGATAGTTGAATTTGCGAAGTTCAACAGTAGTGTGTCACAGGAGTGCGAACGATCCAATCACTTTGAAAACGCATGCTAGCCGTTGGCTAACGGCATATATCATAGCTCAAATATCAACGCCATTCACCGATTAAGGAGCAAATTCCACCCAGATCACGTTTTTAACTACTGTTTCGACAATTTATTAATAGCCAGTTAGATGTAGGATTAGGGCTAAGGTAAGTATCGCGGTTAGGGTTGGGACAAGGGTTATGAATAGCGTTAGTGCTAAGTTCAGCGCTAGGGTCTGGATTAAGGTTAGGATTACGATAAGGGATAGACTTAGAGTTTATGTCATATATTTTAATTTCTTTTACTATCCACATTTCATCCAGTAAGTAGTCATCGATCCTCTTACTGGAAAGCATAGGAATTCAACTGAGTGCTTTTGAGACAGACTGCACAACAGAATGAGAGAGATGAACGGTTCACATAAACATCTCATTTTCAGTCACCTTGGTGAATAAATGTACAGAAACTAGTCTAACTTAGCAACGGATACCTTTTCATTACAACTGGAATGTATTGTTAAGTCATGTCAGAGAAAGATACCCTGTTTAATGTGTTTTCATGGATTTTTTTTGTAAATGTAATATCATTTTTTGTGCGAAAATTCCTCATTTTCATGGAAGGTGGGTTCAAGGCCACTCGTGCGTTCTCATCCTTTGGGACGACGCTATTGTTGAATTTTACCGTTTAATTATTTCTCAAGACGACAGTCAGTGTGACAGTGACTTATGTACTTTAACAACACCATACATCCTACTGGGGTTATTAGTTTTGGGCATTAAATTAAACCATTTAGACTCATCTAGAAACGGCTTCATTCAACATATAAGGTCCGCTGTGGATTTCTCAACCTTATTCATAACGGCGTTTATTGATTTATCAATTTCCTCATATGGTCCTGTTTGTATGTGAGTATTCACCTTGTCCAAATAATCTGATTTGTGAAATATTACTGTTGCATTCCCTTTGTCTGACTTTGTGATAACTATATTCCTGTTATTCTTACGGGCTTGCATCTCTGGTTTCGTCAGGATAGGTTTTCCTCGTTTTTGTCGTTTTAATGTTAGTGCACATTTGTCAGGTCAAATACATAGGTCAAACTAATAGAACAAGAGCAGTCAGACTAGCCGAACATAAAAACCTAGCAAAATCTAGATTGTTTGACCCGAATAAGATAATAATCTAGGCAATAGCTCAGCTATACCACTTACTACATGCAATCGCACACAACCATCCATAAAATAGGATGGGATAGAATGACAGTTTTAAAATCTAATGCAACTGACAGGGTGGAGGGAGAGAGAGATTGACAACAGAAGCTTTGTTTATCGAATCAACTGCAAATCAACATGTGTAATAGGAATGATTCAACACCTGTCCACCCAGATATCTGGAAAATTCTACTACGCCAACGACGACAAACAGGAGAAAACAAAGAAAACTATAAAACTCAGGTTTCGAAGTTGTGTCATTATAACTGATGAAGTGATTATGAACGATACATTTTGTTCGAAACGTCATTCAATAAATATCGCTTTTTTACTGACTGTGTGATACATCTAATAAACAAACCTCCTTGTCTAATTACTCTGATAACACTAGATGAGTGTCTACTTACAGCATCTATAACTTGAAATCATTGTAAAAAAAGTACATTCAGACACTCTATTTTGTAACATGTAACTGATTTATTTAAGATGTACGCAGTTGAAGAGGTAGAATCCATGACGAAATAAAACGAGCTGGTATTATCATGAAGATACATTCGTGCTTTCGCAACAACGAAAGACATGGGCCAGGAAACAGATCGCTTGTTTAGGAAATCAACAAATATTTATAGATTTTCATGTACATTATTGAAGATTATTGTGAGCAAACAAGCACAGTCTTCTGATTGGTTGTTTCTCGTTGAACGTTAGTCTTTCATCCCTTTGTGGCCGTTTCTTGAAGTTCAGATTATCTATCTGCAAATTGCATCCGCCTACGGAAAGTCTTCTGTGATTAGTTGTTAAGTCAGTCTTTATTCTTACTTTTCTCACGACCAATATTGGGGACGTAAACATTGACGTAAATAACTATCCACCAATTTTAGCTATCAGCCAGCTCTCACCACACTCGTCGCCTCGTCAAATACTTTCGACTGAAGTTGGGTCGGTCTTCTTCTTTCTAAGGGCTTTGTTCGTTTGTCTTGCTGTCTGGAATCTCGGCGCTCGCTGATGTTTACCTGTTTCTCTTTGCTTACCATTGTGATTGTGTCTGCGTAGCCCCATCTCAGAGTGACCATATGTGATCCTTCTCACTTGGGAAACTGTTTGTCTGACCCTGTCCCACATTCGTCGGTGTTTCGCCTCACACAATTTCATATGCTGCCTTCTCCCGACCTCCTATCAGTGTCCTGAGTAACAGACTCATCGCTGATAGATCTTCAACGCCACTCAACTGCTCAGAAGCTCCGAATTCCTTCCTGAAGATCCATATGTCTCCATCAAAAACTGTAGGGCATACATAGGCTTTCCATTTGTCGGTAGACAGCGACACCAAATGTAAGAAGAGAAGACAAGGGCCAGGAAACAGATCGTTTATTTACAAAATCAACACATATTTATAGATTTTCGTGTACATTATTGTTATTCGTTATTGTAAGCAAACAAACACAGTCTTCTGATTGGTTGTTTCTCGTTGAACGTTAATCTTTCATCTCTTTGTGACCGTTTCTTGAAAATGAGATCATCTATCTGGTAATTGTATCCACCTACGGAAAGTTTCCTGTGATTATTTGTTGAGTCAGTCTTTGTTCTTAATTTTCTCATGACCAGTATTAGGGACGTACACATTGACGTAAATTACTACCTATGAATTTTAGCTAGCAGCCAGCTCTCATCACACTTTCTTTATTCATAATAACTGAAAACTAATACCTTGTTTCCTAATAATACTTTTTTCACTTCAGATGAATCTTACAGAAAATCAAAGCAGTTTAACTATCCATAATACTCAAACAGAGGATACTGGCTTCTATACAGTAGAAGTGAGTAATTCAGGAGGCACTTCTGTAGAGACAATATTCGTCGACGTGAAGAGTAAAGAGAAGGCAAACATTCAGAATGGATTAGTAAGGTAATTTGAATGACCGCTTTTGTTTGTTTTTTTATTTAAAATTCAATTGTTTTGGTACATTCGAGTAATTCTTTCTAAATCAATTTTAGTTTTTTTTTAAAAGTCTTTTAGTATTTGTAAATTAGGAGAAAAAATGAAATAAAATTTCGATGTGAAGGAAAACTGGTAATTTGTATTGGGGATAATCGTGATTCATTACACAAGTGTTTCTGTAAGTTAGTCAGTCAATCGTTTGCACTTTCCATGATACCCAAGATATTCCGTCTCTGTTGACATATCGGTCTATAGCACGGACGCTTCCACCAGTAGGGGGCAGCAGGTCGGGTTTTAGGACAAATACTCGTCGAAGACATTGGCTATTGGTTGCGCTGTATCATGAATTAGCAGTAGTTAGAATTCATGAACTGGCCATTGGATCGGGTCCCAGTGGCTTTTTGATCTACAAGCTCGCCTTGTAACCACAAGGTCCTGGGTTCGAACTCTGGTGGTGGGTGCGTACTGATGAAAAGACTCAAGCTAGGACGAAACAGCTGTCTAGTACTCCCAGCTGGTTTTCCAATGGTTCTCTAACCATTGTCAGCTCATGATGAAATCCTGTAAGCAATCAATCAAATCCTTACAAACCAATACTTGGATAATTGAAGATTTATGTGATACTGTCTGATGGATGATGACTAGGAGTGGAATCCCAGCTGGCATATTTTATCCTACCTGAAACTTTTCAGCTGAATATACCTGCAGTCTTTAGTGTGCGTGAATGTGTTTTCAATTGGAGTTGAACCCACCATCCATCATTCAAAAAGCCAAGGCGTTATCCACTAAGTCACTTGGGTCACTTGAGCTGATTTTGAAATGTGGTCTGTTGGAATGCGGTCAATCACAGGTAGGCACACTTAACTGATAGTTCCTGAATTGGATAGAATATGAATGCCGGATTCCACTGCCAGTCTCTATCTACCAAATAACACAATGCCACTTTAGTCGACTGAAAGCAGATAGATATTAACCAACACATAAAACTTGTCATTTTAGTGTTTATCTATCAAACTAATTAGTTGATACACGGAGTAAAAGGAAAAAATGTAAGTAGGAGAAGTGAAAACTGTTTTAGCTGCACAAGACAAATGGAGGAAGGGCTAACAATAAGATGTAATATTAAAGTCATGATGAAGGTGAATTTATTGCATGAAGGATTTCATCATGAGCTGACATCAATCAGAGAACCACTGGAAAACCAGCTAGGAGTACTGAAGAGCTGTTTTGTCCTGGTTTGGGACTCTTCAGCAGTACGCGCCCACCGCCAGGGTCCAAACCCACGACCTTCTGGTTACAAGACGAGCTTGTAGACTATTGAGCCACTGGGACCCGATCCGGTGGTCCTTGAATTCTAACTTCTGCCAATTCACAACATAGCGTGACCATTTCGCAATGCCTTCTTCGATGAGTTACTGCCTCATTTTCAACCGGTAGGTGCGTACTACTAGAGAGTCCCAAACCAGGACGAAACAGCTGTCCAGTACTCCCTGTAGCTGGTTTTCCAGTGGCTCTCTAACTGATGTCAGCTCATGATGAAATCCTCCATGCAATCAAACAAGATCCCTACAAATAAACCAATACTTGAAGATGAATTAAGACTGCATTGACGTTACTAAAATGTATACCGGACCAAGTTTGTCTTTCGGTAGGCTTGTGAAGTGACACAGTATCTTGCTTCTATGCCTCTTTTCTTTGTTCCAATCTTATTTTGCTTTATATTCAACACTATGGCTTAGTTGATAAGCACAAAGTGTAAATCAGTCAACTTCGTCAAGTAAAGTTTACAACGTCATCGCTGGGTGACTGACTACAAAATATATACGTAGAATTTTTGTACATTGTTTAACAGAAAGGTTACCATTTCAAGAGGCTATCTAAGCTCAGGCATGAGTTAATATATATTAATTATATAGAAGTAGCTTGAAAATCCCCATTTAGTCATATGAAAAAGAGAAGACGTTCAGCGAAGAGACTCTTTTCGGCGAATTCATTCACATAGCTGTACAATTGCATTTATATATAATTATTTGTTTGTGTGTGTACATGAGGTTTGTCAAGTTTAGAAAATTGATCAGGTAATAAAAGAATGATCTAATATAGAAACAAGGTTAATTGGACAGCAACTAAAGTAAGATTGAGTTAGTAAGTTAGATGACGTAATATAATTGACTAAAATGTTTCAACTTAGGTCAGGGTAGGAGCAGAGGTAATTACAGGTAGAGAGAGACTAAGCAGAAGTGGGATAGATAACAATGCCATTTAAATTAGAACTGAAATTGAGCAGTTAATTTGGATGACGTAACATAAATGACTAAATATAGAAGTTCCAGTGAGTTCCACTGCAAGAAGTTTACCCCCTTGTGTACAGTTTTCATCTGAAGCAATATTATTCTTTCAGAAGTCTAGTTCAGCGGTACTCCATCAAGTACTTTCAGGAAATACTTAGCAATAGGTAAAAAGTGGCTTGAAATTGCGTGCGAGTATAGACTGAGACTAGAACAATGTGAAGTGGAGTAAAAATTAATGCATTTTGATAGATAGATACATTGATAGAAAATTGAGGTAGCCCAATGATTTAAGCAAGCCACCTGCATGAGATGTAGTCACGATAAAAGTTGATCTGCATATGGATGGTTCAAATTCAGCTTTTAAAATACCGTGAATGATATTAAGGTAAAAGTGATACAGGAATTAATTTCGCAGGGTTATCTCTACATGTCTTGTCAAGAAATGCTGTCCACACTGAATGAATACTCCGGCCATATTCTTATCGTTTTGGAAAATTTACAACTGGATTTACATTTATATGTATATATATGTCCTTAGTTTTTTTGAGAAGACTTCACTATTGGTAAGCCAGAACAACACAGCTTTGTGATAAGTGATGTTGACCGTTAGTACATTTTTTTTTATTGTAGTTGGAGATGTATGACTGACTGACTGACTGGTTTCAACGTAGAACTTTCCACGAATGTAGTGCACCAGTTCCACTAGACACACTCCATTATTGTAGCACATAAACCAAGCGAGGAGAGTAAAGAGAAATTCAAAAGAGAGATAATAAACAAAAGTGTGCGTGAAGGAAAAGAATAATAATAATATAGAAGAACAACAGAATTTTATTGGATGTTATAAATGACAAAGGGTCAATATATCTACGATAGCCATTGACAACGACGATTTTGAGCTATATCACCAATTATCTCCAGCTGTCGTTGCTTCTAAACATCCCGAGAACCCCAACAACCAGCTAGGCAGTCTACACCTCCCCACGTGACTTCCTTAAACGAACTGTTATGAATTTCATATACTGATGAATCCATGTTTTCGTTTGACCACAATATGCTACCTCTCTTTCAACCACATCCATCCCATGTAAGTCAGCTAACATTGCCCGTCGGTGGAGCAAGGCGAACGGTGGTTGGCTAGTCATGAGTAAAACATGTCTTATTCCGTTCTCTCAATCAGTGTAACTTCACAAACACCCCGTCGATGGATTCACCTCCTACCTACCTAGCACTCAACCACCGATGCCTAACCTCAATATTGCTCATGCTACTACATCAGTGCACACGGAAGATATAACTCCGCACCTATGATCAAAGACAGCTAGCCAGCAAGCCAGACTTTTCATGCCTTCCACTTTCAATGGCCATAAAGGAGGATAGAGCAGACTGCTTAGAAGTGTACACTTCCCAATGCTCGATGGCCCACAAGGCAGATATCACGTCTACTAAGCTATAGATGGCGTAAGTTGGGGTATACTAATCGAGCCTTCTATGTCCCTACTCAGATTTTGTCAGCGATCTACTTGTTGGCGTTAGCTAATGCAACTCCCCATATGAGTGAAGTGGTTAGCAAGCTCCATCCCTTCAGTCCCTATCTTTAAGCGAGGAATAGTTGATGTAGTCCAGTCCATCCGTGTAGCATGCATCATCTTACATTTGACAGCAGGAGCGAATTGCATACCAAACACTCAGAGATTGCTCACTGCTCAATGTATATTCAGAAGAATCTGCTCTATTTAATCAGTGTCTTCACTTAGGAGGATTATATCATGTTTTGATGTGGTTTTGTTCTCTGAGCTGGATGGTTAGTTTGCGAAGCTTTCATCGCCCTACTGGGTGACATCTTCAGCGCATACTTCAATTTGAAGTGAGATTTTAGGTTTCTCCACGAGTTTATTAATCATCTCTCCTGGCAGGTGACCTTGGACGTGATTGGTTGTTTATGTGTGTTTTCACACCTTCTAGGTTACTTCTGTTGGAACTGATTGTTTCTGTTACTTGAACTTTGACCCTTTGTGTGTGAAGTTTCTTTCTTGTTGGTTGATAAATTTTGTCTATCTCGATTTGTCTATTGATTGATGATTCACTGGAATGCCAAGCTTCTAAAAATTCTCTAGCATTCTTGTTATTTCCTTTGTCTAATATTTGAACGTTGTCCACGGACATCATTTCGACTGGGACAACGTTCAAATATTAGACAAAGGAAATAACAAGAATGCTAGAGAATTTTTAGAAGCTTGGCATTCCAGTGAATCATCAATCAATAGACAAATCGAGATAGACAAAATTTATCAACCAACAAGAAAGAAACTTCACACACAAAGGGTCAAAGTTCAAGTAACAGAAACAATCAGTTCCAACAGAAGTAACCTAGAAGGTGTGAAAACACACATAAACAACCAATCACGTCCAAGGTCACCTGCCAGGAGAGATGATTAATAAACTCGTGGAGAAACCTAAAATCTCACTTCAAATTGAAGTATGCGCTGAAGATGTCACCCAGTAGGGCGATGAAAGCTTCGCAAACTAACCATCCAGCTCAGAGAACAAAACCACATCAAAATTATCCACCTGAGCTACAAATCTTCTCTATCATATTATATCATGTGCACATTCGAAGTCAGTGAGATTGTTCCCTGGTGGCAACAAGTCAATCTTTGAGTCGCTGTCTGACTGCATGAATTCGAGTTGAGTGGTTTTATAGATCAGTGCATTTTCCTGGCATTCTCTTCACAGCTAAACATTGCCATAGTACTTCTCTGTTGACGGAATTGAATGCCACTTTCAGGTCAAAATATATGACGATTGTTCGACGTCGGTAAGTGTGGCTATGTTCTAGAAACTGTTGAAGGGTGAAAATATAGTCAATACACCCTCTTCTTTTGGTTTAAGATTTACCATCACATATTGTCAGCTTATGAGTCTTAAGAGATTTTCAGATGCTTTTTTTTAGAAGTTTCCACCTACACTTGAATTCCACGCTTTATTATATTTTTTCAGCACTAAAGAAAACCAGCATATTCCAAATGGTCACATGTCTGATAAATCTATTGTGCAAGAGTCTAGTAATAACTATGATAAACACTTGTATGTCAGTCAGTTATCTGGACCCATAACAAAACCGAAAGCAATAATCTATGGTCCAGTAGATATGAGAGTAAATTATGCTGACACACTACGTTTATTCTGTATTATAAAACAAAGTAAAGACTCGTTTTTCGTTCATTGGACGCATAATGGACAAGTACTGAAAAATTCTTCCTCATCCAATCATACATTTGGTGTACAAACTTGGGCAAATTATCCTAAAAATGGATTTTATATGTTAGAATTAAAATCTGTCAATTTACAAGACAAGGGATTTTATGGAGTGACTGTTTCCAGAGTATCAGATATGTCTGCGAAAATTGTGAATGAAACAGTGGAGGAAGAAGCTGTTTGCTGGGTTGAAGTTGATGGTGAGACTTTTTGAAACATGAATATTTTTATTACATTATTATTATTATATCCTTTAATTCCTAGAGAAACACAGGGCATCATCCGCCTAAGTCTCCATTGCGTTCCGTTCTCTGCTAGAGTTTTCCCCTGAGTTCCAAGTTTGCCCACATGCTTTCATCTCCTCTTCACATGTTCTCATCCAAGTCATCCTCGCATTTACGGCCAACTCGCCGCTTCCCTTTCGTGTTCCACTCGAGCAATGGCTTGTCTAGTGATGTCACTTGATGGTTTCCTCAGAGTATGACCAGCCACTCCATTTTTCATTTCTTCCTGCCTATTTGTTTCAAAATCGGTTCCTGCTAAATTGGTTTGCTCATTGTCAGAGATCCCTGTTGCTGATCTTTTGTGGCCGGATATCTTGATTTTGAGTAATGTTGAGCGAAGACAGCTGTTGATACCGGTCTGTAGTTTGTTTGAGGTGCCGTTTATGACGCGCTAAGTCTCTGATCTGTATAGTAGCACTGACTGACTTCACATTGGAGTTGAAAATCCGGATCTTATTTTTGATGCTAGTTCCATTTTCAATGCTTCTGCTGGGATTCCGTCTGGTCCTGCTGCTTATCCAGCTTTTAGCATCTTGATTGCCTTCTGGACTTCTGTACAGAATTGTCAGAGGAGTTCTTACAATGTCTTCAAGTAAAATATTAATTAATTGACAGTATATCCTGTGACACACAATGGTTTCTGAGCTGAAACACAAACATTCCAATATGATATGTCTGCTTTGTCTCCTTCAAAAATGCCACTAGAGCACTTTGGCCTCGAGAGCCACCTCTTGTGCAACGGGTCATGTTAATTTAATTTCAGATTTTCTCGTCGATTGATTGGATTGAAGTGCTCAATCTTAGGGTTCAAGCCTCGGTGGGAACACCATCACTGACGCACTGGGAAATGCAGGTACATCCAGCCATCAAAGAGTCCCATATAGTCAGACGAAATGTGCATTGTCCTGGATTCCACTGCTAGTCACCATCCACCAATTAAATTCTAATTAAATGCCCAGACATCGTCGAAGCATCTGTGCAAGAAGCCGACATGTAAGTCTGAGACCGAGCATTTGGGTTCAATCAATCGACGGGAAAATCTAAAATTAAATTAAATTTTAAATACATACAAGGGCCGATAATACCAATAGAGGTCAAATACTAGTCGATTAGAATGAATCGAAAGAGAGAAAATATATGCAATAGAAAGAGATGGAAGTTTTTGGTAGCTCAAATTTTAAGCAGGCCACCACTACTTATAAACCTTCTTCAAATTCCGGTCTATTGAAAGTTTGGACCAAATTTGTAACCAATCAAATCCTTGTAAATCTTCATACTATCTAGCTTATTGGGTCATGCAAATTTAACGTATATTTTGAATCACTATTTCGTGTATTTTAACGTTTATTGTACGGGATTCGGCATAAAACGCAGATGTTGGCATCTCCATATAGATTGCATGAACATCCTTCTTTGATTCTGCAAATTTCTAATATTTTTAAATGGGTGTCATGTATGAGGACGCCTACTCTAAATTTATCACTCCCAATTTTAAGGGTTCATGCGTTTTATTCTATAAAATTAAGTATCTGCTACGTTGTTTTGGTCCATTATTATTTTATATTGATCATATAATGATTATGAGCAATGGATTATAGTCGAAATGTCATCACCACGTTATTTCAAAAAAACTGATCTAATGTGGAATTACATTCTACCACAATGCCAAAGTTCTGTGTGTCTATGGTACAGCGGTAGAACGCTCGCCAACCACGAATATGGTCCGGGGTTTTTACCCTGGCCGACGCACTCCTTTACTGCACGAAGCCAGTATAATAAGACTGGTAAAGACGGGGGTATGAGGCCAGAAGCGAATCCATACTGTAACAATAACTAAACGCCAACGATACTGAAACTTTAATCCCCTAGCTTGAAGCCCTACATTCCACTGGGAACGTGAAGAAAAAAAATACAGTGCCCAAGTTCTACATTTATGTTAACCATTATTTCATTATTATTGTTACTATGTGATATGTATCCATATAAGATGTGTGTTTTGTTTGAGAGCCTGATCTTGGTGATATGTATCCATATAATATGTGTGTTTGTTTGACAGTCTGATATATTTTGCTATGTATATATGGATCGATATTCCATTATAATTAGCCAATCATGTTAAGACTGTCTATTGATTTGTTCACTTTGAATATTCGCTCACACACTTGTGTTCACACACTTGTTCGGACATCCATATTTTTGCTCTCACACTCTTGTGTGACATATTGATTCTCCTTGTGTTTGGAAAATAGAAGTATCATCGCAAACCTAGTGGTCCCCTGATTTCCGTCTTTCTTGCGTCAGGACTATTAAATTCTCGACCAGTACATAACACTATGGTTGGAAACTGCAGTAATGAAGATACGAATTTCAAAATGTTCAACTTCTGAACGAAAGATTCTTTTAGAATTTTTTTTTAATCACTCCGTATTATTAAAGGTAGTGGAGCTACAGTTTAAAATTGTCTTGACCAACATGATTCAAGGCTTCAATAACAAAAATAGTAACAATAATCTCTTTAACGAGTTTGATCACGGATTGATATCAGTCAGCCCCAGGGAGTACTGGACATCTGTTTCTTCCTAGTTTGAGAATCATCGTCAGTACACACCCACCACAGGGGTTCGAACCCAGGACCTTCCAGTTACAAGACCATCTTGTATACAATTCAGCCACTGGGACCCGATTCAATGGACTGCCCGTGAATTCTAGTTTCTACCAATTCGAGATTTTAACGCGACTAGTACCAACCAATGTCATCGGCAGGAACTCCATCCTCCCTCTGGGCTGGATGGACCCTACTGCTCACGACTTCTTACTAAAACGCCAGGAAACTCCGTCCTGTAACAAGTTAACTTGCGAGTATCAGATTAAGTTTCAAGTGTTGGTTTATAAGGATTAGATTTATTTTTACGAATTGGTAAAAGTTAGAATGCATGGGCTATCCATTGAGTCCGATGGGTTACAGTAGCTGATATGTATAAGAGTTTTTCTTGTAATCGAAACGTCCTGGGTTCCAAAAGCTGGTAATGGGTGCATACTGACAATGATTCCAAAACTAGGTTGTTTTCAATAGTTCTCTAAGTGTGATATCAATCTGTGGTCAAACTCGTAAAAAAACAAATTTCATCCTTTAAAAACCGACTCCTGAAAAGTAATCTCTTTGCTCCAAACCGCATATTTGATACGATGTGGAATTCAATCAACAAACGCTTAGGCTGTTATTTCATCATAGAGATAACTTGTGTATGCTAAATAAAACGTTTAAGTTAACGATAGTTCAAGGAGTCAGTCGACAAAAAATAAAATCAACGATGAGCTGTTTTCAGACGTATATGTGTGTGTGTGTGTGTGTCAGAAATACTGTTCAATTTTAATCAAGAATGATGAATAACTTTCAAATGTATCATTTAACGATAGGCTTCCAACAGATATTTGGAATTCCGATCATCCCATTCTATGTCAGTAAAAATAGGATTAGTGAAATGTTTCAATGACAGAGCAGAAAAACTAAGTAGTACCAAGGAAAATCTAAGACAGAAAGTGATACACATAAAAAAAGCCTTGAAACTTAATGATTACACTGATAAATTAGTCAGGAAATATGTATGGAAATGTAAAAATAAAATAAGTAATGATAGTAGCGATAGTGATAATAAAAATAATAGTGATAATAATAATAGCATTAATAACAACACCAACAATAAGGAATCTAAATCATCAGTAGTAATTCCATACACGGAAGGAACTTCAGAAACCTTACGCAGAATTCTTAACAAGGCAGGAATAAAAGTGGCTGGCACTTAAACCACCCACAAACTCAATTAGAAACAAGCCTTGTAGGTTAAAGGATCCTGTGGAGCCTTTAAAACAAAACAATTCGGTTTATCTAATACCCTGCCTGCAATGATTGTCAGGTCAAATACATAGGTCAAACTAGTAGGACAGGGACAGTCAGACTAGCCGAACATAAATACCAAGCGACGGAATCTAGATTGATTGACCCAAATATGATAAGAAATCTGGAGAATAGTTCAGCTATACCACTCACCGCATGCAATCACACACAACCATACAATAGGCTAGATGGGATAGGATGACAGTTTTAAAATCTAATGCAACTGACAGGGTGGAGGAAGAGATTGATAGCAGAAGCTTTGTTTATCGAATCGACTGCAAATCAACACGTTTATTAGGAATGATTCAACACCTTTCCACCCAGATATCTAAAACATTCTACTGCCCCAACGACGTGCGTTGGTGGCAAAGTGGTAAGGACTCTCGCCAACCATGCACATGGTCTGAGGTTCGATTCCCTACTGACGCACACCTGATATCTATGGTCGGCCTGCAAAATTTGGGCTACCGATGTCCATGCTGAAAATTCCATACTGGTAATAAAAATACAGTGTGGAGTCAAGCTGTAATCCGAAAAAATAAGAGAGGACAAATCGAAGTCGTGTGATTATAGTTGATGCTTTGATTATAAACAATAACTTATGTTCGAAACTTTGTCATCCAGTAAATAATACTGTTTCTTTGACTGTGTGGTACATCTATTAAACAAACACTGCTTCTGAATTTTCCTGGAATTTAATCCCTAATGATTGGATTAAAACTCACACGATTACTGTCGACAATTGATTTCTTAGACTAAATTCCAACAATTACTGAAAATGACTACTTTACAAGTTATTCTTAAAGTGTATCCAAACTCGTCGTATGAAAGAAACATCTTGTGCTTTTTGAAGGGTCCGTTTCAGTAGCCAGTATAATAAATCTTAAATTTAAGAAATTTGATAACCCTGCTATTATTATTATTGTTGTTCCCTTGGGTTCCTAGTAGAATACAGGGCTTCAAGCGCACGTCTCCACTTGTCTTCTGCTGTACTTTTCACCTGCACCCATGTTAGTCCATACTCTTTCAACTCCTCTTCAAACGATCTCCTCCATATCGCCCTTGCACTCACGTCCAACTCGCCGCTTCCCTTTCGGGTTGCACTCAAGCAATGGTCTGACGCGCGATGTCACCCAGCGGCCTCCTTAACGAGTGTCCAATCCATCTCCACTTTCTCCTGCATATTTTGTTGGTTGGCGATTGTTTCTTGTTTTCTTTGCTCCCATAGTTTCTTGTTGGTGATTCTTTTCGGCCCGACCATCTGATCTTCAGTATAGAGCGAAGAAAGTTGTTGATAAAGATCTGCAAAAGGCTGTTGGAAATATCCTTTGTGACCCGCCCGCCAAGTTTCTGATCCGTATAGAAGAACTGACTGACTTGACGTTTGTATTAAAAATCCGACCGAATTTTGTTGTTGATACTGAGTTGAGTGACGAAGATTTTCAGATTGGTTTCAGGTTGATGAATGTGTTTCTCGCCTTCCTGATTCTCGCTCAATTTGACATCCTCATCCATTCCGACTGCGTGTAGTTGAGACAATGCTCCCTAGATGATAAGTGAATGAAGTAACCCATTTCAAATCCCTCCCGTTGATGGTGATTGGCGCTGGATGTTGCTGTTGTTGTTGGTTGGTTGGTTGGTTATTTTCATAAGCTCCGTCTTGTCTTTGTTCTTCTGGAGTCCTGTCTTTGCAGCTTCTCCGACCAGTTTGTCAGTTTTCACTTGCTTGTAAGTCTTCAATTTTGTGTGACATCAAACGTAAATCATGTATGCGCGAAATCCAGGTCTTCTAGGTTCTTCACGTCAGTCGGTCCAGGATATCCCTGTCTTCTCGTTTCTCACTCACAGTCTGACGCATAATCCGGTCAGTCCACCACAATTAGGGATATCAACGTGGGTGATAATAAGCACACTTGCCTGACTCCTGTGTTTACTCCAAACGCCTCGCTGAGTTTACCGTTTTGAATCACTTGACATTTGCTGTTATCATACAGTTGTTGAGTTAGGTTGATGAATATTTGGGGTAGGATAACCCTGTATATATATATATATATATATATATATATATAGTGCTTTTACTAATGCACTCAATTTATAATTTTGTTTAAATACATTTGAATACTCCCTCTATTTACAGTTAGTAAATCTGTAGAGAAGAAATCAGCACCGACTATCGTTAACGATGGTCTTCCTTCAATGATTGAAGTGACAGAAGGTCAAATGGTTCATTTAGAATGTAAAGTTGTTGGTAATCCTCCACCTTCATACTTTTATCTTAAAGATGGTGATGTGATAACAACATCGACGAATTTAGAATTCCAGGTGAGTTATAGCAAGTAAAATGTTGTTTTTGGATAGAGAAAGAAAGACCAGATTTGTAGTATAAAATGTTATATCATCATTCTATTTCACAGGTTCTCCTCATCAGCTAACTGCGAACCACTACCTGAAATTACAATGGTTATAATTGACGACATATCATACTTCAGTGTTTGAAAGGTAATAGAGAAAACATTATAAGATGTACGCATCCGGAATGTAAGTATTACAATTCATTGTTTAAGTTTCCATCAATTTATATACTATCAAACTATAAAAAAAAGGGGAGGCAGGGATGAGAGAAGACAGAAAACAGAAAAATCTAGTAAACAGTGTCAACACGGAAACTCAAGAAGTTCAAAGTCCATCTCATTGAAAACTTGCTTAGTGAGTTGAGCCCACTAGTGTGCATGACTGAATAATCAGTTTAATGAAAGTGATATGGTTACCAAAGGAGTGAGAGATTGATTACACTCTCTTTCTGTGTGCATAAGTGTGGTCTGAGACGTTTGATTGCAATAGCTTAGGCGAATCTTAGTTAATTCACTGTCCTTTGTATGTTTAATATTTTTTTGAAGGATTCGGAAATCTCGACGAAATGACCCGTATCCACAGGGTGGGTGTTTAGTGATTGCACTTTGTAAATATCTCCTTTCTTTTTAAGTATGCGTTTCTCGGAATATGCTCTGAAAACCGGATAGAAGCCCTTCTTACTGTCCTTCCAATGTACTTGCTGCCACAGGGGACGTAAATTTATCAATGCAGTTGGAGGTAACATCAGGAATTACCAGACACCTTGTGGATACGGGCCATTTTGTCGAGATTTCCAAATCCTTCAAAATATTAAACATACAAAAGACAGCAAATCTACTACGATTTACTGAAGCAGTTGCAATCAAACGTTTTTAGACCATTCTCATGCACATAGAAAGAGAGTGTAGTCAATCTCTCACTACCTTGGTAACCATATCACTTTGATTACACTGACTGGTCATACACACTAGTGAGCTCAGCTCACTAAGGAAGTTTTCAATTAGATGGACTTTGAACTTCTTGAGTTTTCGTGCTGACACTGTTTACCAGAATTTTCTGTTTTCTGTCTTCTCTCACCTCATATTTCTTTTTCTTCATAGTTTGATAGTATATAAATTGATAGAAACTTAAATTATAAACTGTAGTACTAATCTTCTGGATGTGCTCACCTTATAATGTTTTTTATATTACCTTTCAAACAATGAAGTATGAAATGTTATTATTATTATTATTTATAACCATCGTAATTTCAGGTAGTGGTTCGCAGTTACCTGATGAGAACTTGTGAAATAGAATGATGTACTTCTCTAATTGAAGTCATTTCGTGCTCTAACTTGTGATTAAAATCAACACTTTATTGTGTATAATGCATATTTTATGAATATTCAACGAAAGAAGTCTTTTCAACGAATTTACCAGACTGTATGTTCTTACACATATGATATTTCCTGAAACTATATACTGTGGTGAGAGCTGGCTGCTAGCCAGAAATGGCGGACGGTAATTTACGTCAATTTATACGTCCTCAATATTGCTCATGAGAAAAATAAGAACAAAGACTGACTCAACAACCAACCACAGGAGACTTTCCGTAGGCGGATACAATTAGCTGATAGATCATCTCACATTCAAGAAATAACCACAAAGAGATGAGAGATTAACGTTCAGCGAGAAACCACCCATTAGAAGACTGTGTTTGTTTGATTACAATAACGAATAATAATAATAATGTACATGAAAATCTATAAGTATTTGTTGATTTCCTGAATAAACGATCTGTTTCCTGGCCCTTGTCTTCTCTTCTTACATTTGGTGTCGCTGTCTACCGACAAATGGAAAGCCTATGTAAGCCCTACAGTTTTTGATGGAGACAAATGGATCTTCGGACAGTACTTCAAGGCCTCTGAGCAGTTGAGTGGCGTTCAAGGTCTGTCAGCGATGGGGCTGTTACTTGGAACGCTGCTGGGAGCTCGGGAGAAAGCAGCATATGAGATGGTGTGAGGCGAAATACTGACGAATGTGGGACAGGGTTAGGAAAACAGTTTTCAAAGTGGGAAAGACCACATATGGTTACTTTGAGATGAGGTTACGCAGACAAAATCGCAATGATGAACAAAGAGAAACAGGTGCTGAGATCCTAGATAACAAGACAAACGAACAAAGCCCCTAGAACGAAGAAGACCAAACCAACTTCAGTCTAATGTCTTTGATGAGGGGAAGAGTGTTTTGCGAGAACTGGCTGCTAGCCAGATTGGTAGGTAGTAATTTACGTCAATGTTTATGTCCCAAATATTGGTCATCAGAAAACTAAAAACAAAGACTGACTCAACAACTAATCACAGTAAACTTAGCGTGGGCGGATACAATTTGCAGATAGTTAATCTGAACTTCAATAAACGGCCACAAAGCCATGAAAGACTAAGGTTCAGAGAGAAACCACCAATCAGATGACTGTGTTTTTCTGCTAACAATAATCTATAAATATGTGTTGATTTCGTGAATAAACGATCTGTTTCCTGGCCCTTGACTTCTGTTGTCACACTACTATAAACTGCTATACACCATTGATATCTATCATCAAGCTGCATTACTGGCTTTTACTTAACATTTATAGGGAAAATAGACGACGTTTTGTGATCTGTAATGGAACTGTGGTGAAATTTTTATCACGAACTGTTATTTTCAAATGAAACATCTAATATTACAGGAATATTTATATGATTAAGGCGTAATGTAACTTTATCTCTATTTTGTACGTAGTAATTTGTTCAAGTTAAATGCGGATTCTTTTTAAATTAACCGCCTATTTTCTTCTTTTTTTCCTTAAATAATCAACTTCTATATAGGTGTCTCAGGTCGATGGAGTGTATCGATTGACTTTTCCAAGGGTGACTAAGATGCATTCTGGTATATGGGATTTAATATGGTATAATTCACAAGGCTTACTAGTTAAATCTTGTCAACTGTTTGTTACAGAACATGGTTATTTGAATGGTTATTCAAGTCAAGAAATTAAAACAAAAACTAGTGAAACAATTATTAATTTAAAACCATCAGTTAGAAAATTACAATCAAGCAATTCATTAGCAGCTTTTACACAAGAAACACCAGTTGAAGAAGAACTTCGAGTTGAACGAAATCTTGAAAGTCGATTGAATTCTCTGGAGAATAAATCAAGTCAAGTAATTTTAAGCAATGATTCTAAGCTGGAACAACCACCTGAATTCATTTCTATGTTTACAGACAAAACTGTGACTAGCGGAGAGACAGTTTGTTTAAGATGTTCATTGAAGGGAGATCCTCCACCCGTGGTAAGCTTATTAAAATTTTTATTATGAAGATTTATTGTAAAGATGTTTAATTCTCATTATTCTATATCGTGGAAAATTGTAAATTGTACCTAAATGCCTACTGTTTTTATAACTTGCATTCGTTTTATTCCTTTACGTTTACAGTGAAAGGTAGGGCTTTAGGCTAGAGGCTTGAAATTTCGGTAGCAATTGTATTTATTTTTACCAGATGGGTTCCCTGCTGGCATCATGCGTAACCTTCCCTCTCTTTACCAGTTTTATTACTGGTAAGCCAATGGTCTACGAGCTCGCCTTGTAGCCAGAAGGTCCTGGGTTCGAATCCCGGTGGGTGCGTACTGCTTAAGAGTCCCGAACTAGGACGAAATAACCGGCTGTCCAGTACTCCCAGGTTTTCCAGTGGTTCTCTAACTGATGTCAGCTCATGATTAAATCCTCCATGCAATCTAATAAATTAGGTGACAATGTATTGAATTCAACTCAAGTCGTAGAAACAAGGGACGAGCAAAATTACACTCTATTGAAGGGGGTGGAGTGAGATTAAAAGCAAGGATTACTTAACCGAGTGAAAGAGAGACAGTGAAGAACTCCAGTTACCAGATAAGGCAAGAAAAAACTGATGCTAACTGCTTCTTTTTGAACACATTAATCGGTTTTGAAGCGCTTGATGGAGATTGCTTCACCAAACTTGAGACGAATCGGGCTCCTTTGTCTATTGATAATTTTGAAGGATTTTTACAATGCTCACCTCATGATTCGTATCAAGGTGGTGCCTGGTAGTGGTGCTATCGTAACTGTTTGTTCTCTTGAGTCTTAAGCTTGCTGGTATGTGTTCAGAAAGTTGGAGGTATGCTCTTCTTCTTTGTGTTCTCTCAAGTGTGACCCCTTCCGCAGATGCACACAAATTTATATACATAGCTGTAAGTAACCTTATCAATAACCTTTTTACCTAACTTATTTACCATTGTATGCAAACATTTACCTTATCTAAACCTGAATTCCTTGCGTAAGAGCTACATTAGCGTAACTAAGACGAGATTATCAACACTGACAATAGTAGCAGTTGACAGAAACTTTGTAAAATTTACTGAGAAATATTCATATGTATTATTTGTAAATGGCCTTTCTAGTTCGAAATGCAAGTAAGGAATTCACAAAAGTGTCTTTTGTGAAAATATCTACTGGTTTACATGTGTTCTGAAAGCTAAGGAATTGTATTCAGCATTATGGTAATGATGTTAATATCTATCAGCAATGTAAACAATATCCGTAACTTGAAAACTATGAATGGAAATCATAGTTAACTAATAAACCGAGTTTTGGAAACTTTATATTTTTCTCTGTGTGAATTTCGACAAAACAGCACGAAGACATAATTTTACCTGAATTGTGCAATATGTTTTCTTAACACATTTGAAACACTGGGATCACACACATGTAACAATAACTGGGACTTATATGGAAATTATAAAGTAGATTATATCAAAAGGCTATCCTGAAGGATAAGTGTAACAACGGAGATCAATAAACTTAAGAGGTGCGATAACAGTACATCTATCTTGGTATGAAAACGAATTTTACCAAGAAAAGTTTAATATGTTGACAAAATGTGGTTTAAACCTTGTAATCGCTAAGGCTTCTACAAACTTCAGCATACGTCTTGAACACGGTTTATAGTATGTTTGATAATGGAAGAGCAAGGCATTAATTATTTTCAGCATTAATGGGTTCAAGGGATTTCATTTGCTTCTAATACCATTTAAAGATCAATGCAAGTAAAGAATTCAGAGCATAAGGCTGATGTTTACACCTCTTTCAAAACCTATCTGTAAAATGTTTTTGCGGGACGCATCCTATACATTAATATCCATGAAATGAAACGCATTGCCATAACCCAAGTTTTTAGTTTTTTAACGCCATGTAGTCAGCATATATAAAGACAGTTTGGATTTGAAAGGATCACTTCCAGTCTACGGCAAAACGTGAAATAATATGTAACTTTGAGAACTCAGTTCCAAAAACAAATTAACTGATTCCTTACTATTTGCTCGCCACTACTTTGCATTAGGCTGTGAAACTGTTATTGCCGATTTACTGCATATTATATAAGTTCTTATTTAGAAGCAGTGATCTTCTGTTTTCAATATCACATATGTTGAATACGAACTGAAACATTTGATAAAACAGGTGTATTGTTCCAAACAAGCACCTAAATTACACTCACACATTTTTAATACAGCATTATTCCTTTTATTACGCCTAAGCACAACTCAGACCTTGAGAAGAAAGAAGAATTCTACAGGCAACAATGGACAATACTCCAGCTGGCGACATGAAAATACTAATGGGAGACATGAACGCCAAACTGGGACCAGACAATACGGGAAGGGAACTCATCATGGGTAGAGAAGCTCTAGGAGAAATGAATGAAAACGGAGAACTCTTCGCCGACTTCTGCGCCTTCAACGAACTGGTGATTGGTGGCAGTGTATACAAGCACAAAGATATCCACAAGGCTACATGGGTGTCACCAGACGGGCAAACCAAAAACCAAATCGACTTCATCTCAATCTCAAGGAAGTGGAGGCGCAGCCTACTGGACACAAAAGCAAGAAGAGGAGCAGACGTTGGCTCAGACCACTATCTCGTACAAGGGACAATCCAAATCAAATTAAAAGCTTTCAGGGAATCAGGAGCTGCAGATAGACCACAAGCCAAGTTCAACACTCAAAAGCTGAAGGACCAGGCTACAAAGGACATCTTCATTGCAAGCATAAAGGACAAAGCTGAGACACAAATCAACACCAGCGAAAAGGTCGGCGTTGAAAAGCACTGGAACAACTTGAAAACGGTGTGGAGCCAAACCTGCATAGAAATTCTAGGCAGAAAAAAGAGACAGGACAAACAGTGGCTCACTACGGACACTTGGAAACTAATAGAAGAGAGAAGGACAGTGAAGCAAAAGATTATCCAGTGCACTGACGAGCAACAAAAACAGGAGCTGAATGCAAGCTACAATACACTGAACAAAAGAGTGAAGAAAAGTGCCAGGGAAGACAAAAGAAAATATTATGAAACCATGGCAAACGAAGCAGAACAAGCTGCAGGCAAAGGAGACCTCGCCACACTCTACCAAACAACTAGGAACCTTTCGGGCAAACGTTCGACACAGATTAAGCCAATAAAGGACGACAATGGAAAGTCAATCACCAAAGAGGTGGAACAGAGAAAGCACTGGGTTGAACACTTCAAAAGACTTCTAAATCGTCCGCCACCTACAACACGTCCAGCAATACCAACAACGGAAGCAGAACTACCAGTGAACACTGACCCCCCGACGAAATCAGAAGTCCTGAATGCAATCAAGATGCTTAAAGCTGGGAAAACACCGGGACCAGATGGAATCCCAGCAGAGGCTTTGAAAATAGACCCAGAGACAACAGCGGACTTGATGACACCACTGCTGGAGAAGGTGTGGAAAGAGGGCAAAGTACCCGAGGATTGGAAGAACAGTTACTTATTCAAACTTCCAAAGAAAGGAGACTTAAGTCAATGTAAAAACTGGCGTGGAATTATGCTTCTGTCCATTCCAAGCAAGATACTAAGTCGCATCATCCTGGAGAGAATCAAACAAGCCCTAGATGAAAAACTTCGTCCGGAACAGGCTGGATTCAGGAGAAACAAATCATGTATTGATCAAATCGCCACTCTACGGATCATCATTGAACAAAGCTTGGAATGGCAGTCACCTCTCTATCTCAACTTCATCGACTTTGAAAAGGCCTTCGACAGCGTCGATCGAGAGGTCATTTGGAAACTACTTCGCTACTACGGGGTCCCATCGACAATTATACACCTCATCCAACAGTTATACGACAATGCTGCATGCCAAGTAATCCACAACGGGAAACTTACGGAAGCCTTCGAAGTGAGGACGGGAGTGAGGCAAGGCTGTCTACTATCACCAATGATCTTCCTGATTGCAATTGATTGGATAATGCGACAGACAACGGCAACCAACGAGGGAACAGGCATAAAATGGACTGACACAAAAGACTTGGAGGATCTGGATTTCGCCGATGATATATGTCTGATTTCCCATAAACTGGAAGATATGCAAGTGAAAAGTAACAAGTTGGCAGAAGAAGCATCAAAGATAGGACTTCACGTGAACATAGATAAAACAGAGATGATGAAGATTCCTAGCCAACATCAACAACACCAACAGACCACAATAAGCATAAATGGGAAGAACCTGAAAGAAACAACCTCCTTCACCTACCTGGGAAGCATCGTCTCAACTACAGGCGGAACTGACGAGGACATCAAAGCCAGAATCGGAAAAGCAAGACAAGCTTTCATTACTCTCAAATCTGTGTGGAGGTCAACAGCAATCAGCATCAAAAATAAGATCCGGATTTTCAACTCCAATGTGAAGTCAGTGCTACTATACGGATCAGAGACTTGGCGAGTCATAAAGAGCATCTCAAACAAACTTCAAACCTTCATTAACAACTGTCTCCGCTCAATACTCAAGATCAGATGGCCAGAAAAGATCAGCAACAGGGATCTCTGGGAGCGAACCAATCAGGAACCGATTGTGAAACAAATAGGCAGAAAGAAATGGAGATGGATTGGCCATACGCTGAGGAAACCATCAAGTGACATCACTAGACAAGCCCTCGAGTGGAACCCGAAAGGGAGGCGGCGAGTTGGTCGTCCAAGGGTGACTTGGAGGAGGTCATGCGAGGAGGAGATGAAAGCATGTGGACAGACCTGGAGCAGGGTGAAAAAGTTGTCAGAAAACCGAAGTCAATGGAGGTGCGCAGCTGAAGCCCTATGTTCCTCTAGGAACTAAATGATACAATAATAATAATATAATAATTACGCCTAAGCCTATCACAAGGTAGGTGTATATGGAGTTTTTTTTATTGTGCTGAGAGTTGTCTGCATGCCAAAATTGTAAACAACAATTCACGTCAATGTTTACATTCTAAATCTCGCGCATGAGAAAAAAACAAGAACAAAGCCTAACCGTGAGGATCTCAACAACCAATCACAGGAGACTTTGCGTGGGCGGATACAATTCGCAGATATATATATGAACGGACTGTCTAAGAAACGGAAGGCAACAAAGAGATGACAGAATAACCTTCAGCAAGAAAACAATCAGTCGGAAGACGTTGCTTTTCTGCTAACAATAACGAATAATAATGTACATAGAAAACCTATAAATATCTTCGAGTATTGGTTTTGTAGGGATTTTGTTTGATTGCATGGAGGATTTAATCATGAGCTGACATCAGTTAGAGAACCACTGGAAAACCTGGGACTACTGGACAGCTGTTTCGTCCTAGTTTGAGGTACGAGCTCGCCTTGTAACCAGAAGGTCCTGGGTTTGAATCCCGATGGGTGCTTACTGCTGAAGAGTCCCAAACTAGGACAAAACAGCTGTCCAGTACTCCCAGGTTTTCCAGTGGTTCTCTAACTGATGTCAGCTCATGATTAAATCCTCCATGCTATAAATATCTGTTGATTTTCTCCATAAACGATCTGTTGCCTTGCCCTCGTCTTGTGTCATTACACTGTGAATTTCTGTGCTCGTTACATAAGTAATACGGTCAATCGTGTACCGTATCACAGTGTTTTGGGATGTGACTAACGAATGACGCAACCTACTTGGAATCTTCAACAGGTATATGGAGTAGGTGAGTTACAAACTAAATTGCTTTTCTCAGCAGCTCGAATTGTTGCTTGTAACCAGACAGTAGAATGCCCCATTCTTAAGGTAGAATTAGAGAATTATTGAATTGAATTTTTGACTGATTTTCCCGTCGATTGATTGGACCGAAGTGCTCGGTCTCAGGTTGACATGTCGGCTTCTTGTGCAGATGCTTCGACGATGTCTGGGCATTTAGTTAGTATTTAATTGGTGGATGGTGACTAGCAGTGGAATCCAGGATAAAGCGCATTTCGTCCTAATTGGGACTCGTCAGCTGGATGTACCTGCATTTCTCAGTGAGTGATGATGTTCCCACTGAAGCTCGAACCCAGTACCCATAGTTTCAAACGCCAAAGCGTTATCCACTAGACCACTTGGGCCACGGGAGCCACCTCTTGTGCAACGGGTCTTATTAATTATTGAATTGAATTTTTGATTTTCCCATCGATTGATTGGACCGAAGTTCTCGGTCTCGGGTTGGCATGTCGGCTTCTCGTGGCCCAAGTGGTCTAGTGGATAACGCTTTGGCGTTTGAAACTATGGGCACTGGGTTCGAGCTTCAGTGGGAACATCATCACTCACTGAGAAATGCAGGTACATCCAGCTGACGAGTCCCAATTAGGACGAAATGCGCTTTATCCTGGATTCCACTGCTAGTCACCATCCACCAATTGTATGTAGAATTAGAGAAAACTACTTGCTGATACTTTCAAAATATTTCGACAGTTTATAGCAATCTGTCATGCTAGCTGGTGGAAAAAGTTCCTCCATTGCAGTGATTTCGGATCGAATATTTCGCCAAAGCGCATTGAATTTACAGTTTCTGTTGTTAATTTCATTCTTTCTTTTCTAATCTTAAGGTTCAATGGAAATTTAATGGAAGGCTACTTAATCTACCCAGTGAAAGAATTCGTCTAATTCATTTTGATAATGAATATTCACTGATTATATATAATACATGCTTAAATGATATTGGACGGTATGAAATGACAGCTGAGAATGTTGCTGGTAAAGCCACATGTTCAGCTCACCTTCTTGTCAACTGTTCAGAGAAAACTCGGTGAGTAGATGTGTAGAGTTTATTGTGGAAATTTATTGAACCTTTTTCTTTTCTCTTTCTTTCTGTTCTCTTTTATATAAGATGAGAAAAGTTATTGATTCTAATTTTTTTTGGTTTCCAGTTTTTTGATTATTGAAGTACATTAGTACCTTTGATACTCCTTTTGAAGTGGTTCAGTGAAGTGATATATATACATATAAGTACTTGTGAACGTTTGTATTCATTTTCAGAGGGATTAACATATAACTGTAGTATTAGATGGTTGGAGGCAATGGGCCACAGGAAGCCTTACCGGGACCTAGGTTTCGGGCTAGTTGGCACTCATCAGTCATCAGCAAGACGTGTATCTGCAACCTTGAAGGAACTCATGTCTCTTCTGAGATTCGAACCCGTGTCACCCAGTGCGTGCTGCCTACAGTCAGAGACGTTACCACTGAGCTATTCGGGCTGGCAATTGATCTCCTGTAGGACTGTATTGGATATTTTTGATTCCACACTAGTCAGTAACTAGTGTAATATGTCTAGTCCTATCTTCGCTGCAGACTGAATTCTATCAGTCAAGCTTCCCGTGTGGCCACTATGCCGATTGCCTCCAATCATCTAATACCAACATCTCACAGTGCACCGTTATGGCGAGCGACCTGGCGTGCTGGCCACATTGCAAGCTTGACTGACTGATAGGATTCAGTCTGCAGTGAAGATAGGACTAGACACATTACACTAGATACTGACTAATGTGCAATCAAAGTCATAACTGTAGTAGAACTCAGCTTTGTTGTGATTAGTGGTTAACCAGCTTCATATTGAGACTTCATAGAAAGAATAATGAAGAGGAGAATATGAATGACTATCGCATTAGACTAAAAAGTGTTTCAGGTTATACTCTAAGATCTTTACTTACTTTAGTAGTCGACAGAATGTGTCATTACAAACTATGTCTGTGTGTGTGTGTGTGTGGGTGGGTGGAGAACTAGGAGGACGGATATTCTTCTATATTTTTGTGTTGAGTAAGAGAATGCCTGATTTCTTACTTTACACATATAGTTTGTGAAAAGAATGTAACAACAGAAGACAAGAGTCAGGAAACAGATCGTTTACTAAAGAAAACAACAGATACTTATAGATTTTCATGTTCATTATTATAGATTATTGTTAGAAGACAAACACAGTTTTCTGATTGGTTGTTTCTCGCAGAAAGTTGACCTTGCATCTCTTTGTGGCTGTTTCTTGAAGGTCTGATCCTTGATCTGCTAAGTGTATCCGCCTACGGAAAGTTTTCTGTGGTTGGTTGTTGAGTCAGTCTTTGTTATTATTTTTCTCATGACCAATATTTCGGACGTGAACATTGACATAAATTGCTGTCAACCAATTTGGCTAGCATCCAGCTCTCACCACAAGCCTCTAGCCTCGCTTGAAACCACCAAAAAAATTACTTTAGTCGAGTACAATGCAACTTTTAGGCCTCATCCCGGCTATCATATTCTGTTTAATTTAAATAATCTAGAGTCTTGAAATACCGTCAGCTATCAGCCAAAGAACGGTGTACTGTTATTTTGTCCTAGTTCTAAATTCCTCAAGAGTAGGCGCCCATCACTGTAGCATGGATCGAACCAAATGCCTTTGGGTTATGGGGCGAGCCCTCACATGCAAGGCGCGATTACTCCCCCCTGTGTATGTGTGACCACACACACACACACAAATTGATAAATTGTGTGGTATGTGATGTAATCACTTGTGCACCTTTGAGGTTTGCAGTGAAGCATATTTTTAGCTTTTTCCACAATTACAAGCTGGGCTGCATAGTAGGTTCTACGGATGACCGAATTCAACCTTTGTCTCAAAATCATACTGTTTATTTCCCTGTTATTTGGTAATTTGATGAAAATATTTTTCTGAGGGGCAGCATAGATTGCATGTTTAAAGACTAACTGGCATCTACAGTTGACTAAAATGTAAAAGGATATCCGTTTTCAACAAGAGTATCCATCAATATTTCATTATCTTTGTCTATACGTCGAATCCTCTAAAAGGGACATTTCAACAAGCCTCTTTTATACTGTAATGGATAGAATCTGTGGGAATTAAGGTATTGTCCTGTCCAAGTAGGCTTTCTGTAAATTGATCGTCTCATTGAACCATCATCTCTTCGACTCAGAAGTATGTCTAAAAATGCAAGTTGGTTGCAACTTTCTTCCTTGCATGTAAGACTTGTGTGATTCTGTACAGAGTTAAGTCTGTCTAACAGACGACTCGCATCTTCATGATCGTCACATATCAAAATGATGTCATCTACATATCTCCTATAGAAGGGCAATTTAGAAATAAAATCAAAGGACAAGTTCTCAACACAAAACATGTAAACGTTGGCTAACAAAGGTCCTAATGGACTCCCCATAGCAACATCGCCAACTTGTCATAAATGTTCACCTTCGAACATGAAATGGACGTTGTCAGTACATATTAGTAATAAATCTTCCAAATGAGTTGAAGCAAAAAGGAATGAAAAACAACTCGAAGATATAAATAGTCACAAAAAATATCAACAGTCCTAATCAGTGGCACAGTAGTAAACAAAGAACTAACATCAAATGAATACTTTTTCCTATCTCGTATGTTCATATCTACAAGACAGTCCACATTCCAGTTCAAATGTATCTTTCAAAGTAAACTTGTAGTGAGAGCAGCCTGCTAACCAATTGGCAGGCATTAATTTACGTCAACGCCTAGGTCGCTAATATTGCCCGTGAGAAAATATGAACAAGATTGATTCAACAACCAATCACAGCAGACCTGACGTGGGCAAATAAGATTCGCAGATATATGGCTTAACCTTCTGAGAAACCAGTCACAAGCAGTACAGAATAACCTTGAGCAAGAAAAAACCAATCAGAAGACTGTGTGTCGTCTGCTTGAATAAGCTATAATAATGTACATGAAATACATATAAATACGTGCTGACTTCCTTAATAAAACGATCTGTTGCCCGGTCCTTGTCGTCTGTTGTTACAAACTTACATAATTCATTGTGTACTGGACTTAAATGTGTCAGCAGATTGTTCGAAGTGTTTAGCACAAATACATCACATTTTCAGATAATCTCAGTCTGCTAATAATGCTACCCAAACTTCACGAAAGGGACTAATTATTTTAAATTAAACATTAGTATTATTTCCATATTGGTTTGTTTATTAGATGTACCACACTGTGAGTGAAACAGTATTATTTACTGGATGACATGGTTTCGAACTAAATTTATTACTGTTTATAATCATATCATTAATTATAATCACACGACTTTGAAACTTAAGTTTTATAGTTTTCTTTGTCCTCTCCTATTTGTCGTCGTTGAAGAAGTAGGATTATCTAGATATCCGACTGCACAGGTGTTGAATCACTCCTATTACACGTGTCCACTCTCAGTTCATTTGATAAAAAAGCTTCTGTTATCAATCTCTACCTCTACCCTGTTATATTACACTAGATTTTGAAACTGTCATCTTATCCCATCCAGACTATTGTATGGTTGTGTGTGACTGCCTGTAGCGCTATGGTTGAACTATTCTCTAGATTTATTATCTTATTCGAGTCAACCAATCTACATTTTGTTAGGATTTATGTTCAGCTAGTCTGACTGCCCGTGTTCTACTAGTTTGACCTATGTATTTGACCTGACAATCATTGCAGGTAGGGTATTAGATAAACCAAATTGTTTTGTCTTTAGGGCTCCACATGATTGATCTTTTAACCAACAAGGCTTGTTTCTAATTGAGTTTGTGAGTGGTATGAATGCCAGTCACTTTTATTCCTGTCTTGTTAAGAATTCTGCGTAATGCTTCCGGGGTTCCTTCCGTGTATGGAATTACTACTGATGATTTAGATTCTCTATTGTTGGTGTCGTCACAAATATTATTAATGTTATTATTATAATTATTATCCCTATTATTATCATTATCATTATTAGTGTTATCATTAGTATTATCACTATCGCTACTATCATTATTTACTTTATTTTTACATTTCCTTACATATTTTCTGACTAATTTATCCGGATAATTATTAAGTTTCAAGGCTTCTTTTATGTGTATCACTTCCTATCTTAGATTTTCCTTGGTACTACTTCGTTTTTGTGCTCTGTCACTTAAACATTTCACTAATCCTATTTTTACTGTCATAGGATGGGATGATTGGAAGTCCAAATATCTGTTTGAATGTGTGGGTTTCCTTTAAAAGCACACTAGTGTTTTGCTTCCCATCTTTTTTCCTTTTTACGCTGCAATCTAACATTGAAAGTTCCCCTTCCTGACTTTCCAATTTATCAGTGAATTGAATTGCCTCTACCTTAGAGTTGATTTGTTCGAAAAATCTATCTAACTGCAAATACATGTAATAGGAATGATTCAACACCTGTTCACGCAGATATCTGGAAAATTCTACTACCCCAACGACGACAAATAGGAGAAGACAATGAAAACTATGAAATTCGAGTTTTGAAGTCATGTGATTATACTTGATGAAATGATTATGAACAAAACGTTTTGTTCGAAACCATGTCATCCAGTAAATACTAATACTGTTTCACTCACAGTGTGATACATCTAATAAACAAACCAATATGGAATTACTTACTACCACAGTGCCCAAGTTTTACATATGTATTGATTAGTATTACTCATCTATTAACTATATATATATCTGTAATCTTTGTCATTATAGACGGCGTGCCAGTCCATCCAGTGAACCAGAATATACTACCTATCATCAAGAAGACTTTGATTACGATCGATGTAGTAGTAGTGTACGTGCGTCAAGGGAACACTGCCATTCTGAAACACAAACTCCTGCTGAGAATAAAAGATCATCTCTTATTCGTTCAATCAGTGCTCCACTATCACAAATTGAACCTAATTTAATTGGTCAAAATGGTCAGACGCTTTTAACTTGTCGTATGTGTTGTGCACCGATTATTCGTGGTGGTGAAGAAAATTATTCCGTGAAGTATCCTAAACATAAGTCTGAAGTTTTACAGCAAACCAACAGTTATAATGCGGTAAGTTTAATTATTTTGATAATATATTGGGGGATTATAATAATAATAATAATAATCTACTGTATTCCAAAAACAGTACTTATAATATAGAATGGAATTCTCAGCATATGTCACAATATCGCATCTGATTTATTTAAAATATAAGTAAAATTAAAACAAAAGTAACCAGAGGAATTTGTATACATTGGCGGTATAAAGTCAAAAATATTCGAAGCACGAATTAAAAATATTAAATGTAACAATAATGATAACAGTGGGTTTGTTTCAAACAGTATTGCCGATTCAGTTTGGAAATTTTAGAATGTTAAAGATTATTGGATCTAATGTTCTGTTGATATAGTATGGTGAGGGAAAATACGAAATTAACAGTTATACCACAGCTTCAATGATCTTCATACTAATGAAAAATAAATAAATAAAAACAAAACATTGAGAGGATTATAAATATAAGACGTACAATAACAATAAAGTTTGATGTTGTTAGCGTGGAGGAAATGGTTTATTTAGTAGGGTGAAGAAGGTTATCTATTTCATGCCTAACACTATTTTCATCAAATAAATTACGCACTATCAAATATGGTATAGTGGAATTTCTATACTTAGACGTACGTGCATAAATTCTCCTGAAATGACTTCTTGTTTTACCTGAGGAGGAGACACAAGGTTGAAGCTGCGGGTGGTGTAGTGGATGTTCACAGTCTGACAAAATTCCTTTAGCAAATTTGTTGCATGACATCAAGTGCCTTTCAGTGACAATGTCAACGATACTGCCCAATAGGATACCACCACTCACCCTACTGACAGTCATCAGAGTTCTACGAAGAATGACATAGTCTTTTTTAAGCAATCCAGGAAAGAATAAGGGTGAACAGTAAAGAAGAATAGGTAAAATGCACGAGTTGACAAAATGTAAGAGGAGGGGTTGGTTGAGCTATGCCTGAATGCCTTAACATCTTAATGTAAAAAGTCAGACGGAATATTTTCTTTAGAAATCGCTAAGACATGGGAAGACCAGGATAGGTCAGAAGAAAGAATTAATCCAAGATACTTAACTTCAGACTTGATTTCTATATCACCATCATGAAATTTGCAACGGTCATAGCAGCCAACAGCTTCATTTTACTGTCTTTTGCCTCGGACACTGAAATTAGCAGTCTGATATTCGGAAGGATTTAGTTTAATGCCACTAGACGAAGATCATTTGCTAATTTCTGATAGAAAGCTTTTCATCTTAGTATGGTCAAGCTGGGTGTTAACACATATTGAAATAGTTCGAACATCAGCATACTTAGCAAAGTTCATTTCGTCATCATAGCGAGGCAGGTCATGCAAGAAGAAAGAAAACAGGAAAGGAGAGAGAACAGCGCCTTGAGACACACACACCAGCTGTAACTATGTACAGCTGCATTTGTTCATATGCCGATTTATGAGTTAGCTTCTTTAGCATGGAAATATTAGTTAAATTAAAGTCTTTTAAATAATATCATCGTGCTTTCTGCAGACTGATCCTTTCCTCAAACGTAACAGAGGGACTAATCTTACTTGCCTTTCAAAATAGTTTACTCTCAGTATCTAGAAGAGACGGATATCTTTAATTTATTTAATAGTTTGACATAATTTTAAATGGATTCAATCTTATGTAAGTGAAGTGAGAGGACTGGTGTCAATATTTAGGATATTGTTATTATTATTCCTGAGTAGAACATAGGGGTTGAAAACACATTTCCACTTTCTTCTATCTTCTGTTGTCATTAGTGAGTATTGACAAGGGTCGTGTAATATCGAAGACACTCAGAAAAATAGGATGTTAGAGACACGTGTCCAAAATTAATAATGTAATAGGTGGTGGAAGTAAATAAAGGGTTAGTTATGAAAAAGATGTCACTAAAATCTCATACAAAAATTCAAAATAAGCATTATTAACAAAGTAGTCGAACTTGGAACTATACTCTAGGTAGAAGAAAGGGGAAAAGAAGTTTCTTCTGTGTGCATAAATCATGGTTTTCCATACGGATCGCTAAAGCATCGATCGGCAGTGCAAAGTATACTGAAGCTTATCTACCGTCATCGGGAGACTTCCGTTGACTTTGTAGATGACTTTGAATGAATCCTCCTTGTATGCTTAGTGACCATTGTTGAATATATATGTTCAATTATAGCACTCTTTATTGATCCACAGTTACGTTTTAGTAGCCAAGTGAGATAATGTACTTCTACTCTATTGGATAAAGCATGCACTGAACGACCTATATATATCTCGATCCACTTGAGCAATTAAGTTGGTAGATACACATGGAAGTCGTCAAATGTGATAGTTTATCTTTTACAGTTATTGAAGAACAATGGGCTGCATAAACATACCAATCGCAGTGTATCAGCAGAAAATGTTCTTTTCAGGACCTTAGATATCCTACTCCTTAGGATTTTGTCAGCCATTGTACACCTAAGTGAATGAATTCTCCGAAAATAGATTCTTTGCTGAACGTTTTGCTCTTATATTCATGCCTGGATGGGTATTTTCCATGAATTAAATTTGATTTCGCTTCAATAATAAATTATTGAGGTGTTCATCTGGTCAATATGACTGTTTGAAGAAAAATTTCTGTTAGGTGTCAAAACTATTGCAAACTCTATGAAGCGTGTATTCCTAGGAGGTACTGTGTTTCGATGTGCGTCGGTGGTATAGCGGTTAGGACGTTTGCCGACCATGCATATGGTCCGGGGTTCGACCCCCGGCCGGCACACTCCTTTACCTCACTGAGCCAGAAATATTCCAGGTAAAGAGCAAAGGTTGGGCATGAGGCTAGCAACCCCATCCTGTAAAAATCAAACACTACTACAGAAACTTCAAGCCACTAGCTTGGAGCCCTATGTTCCACTGGGAACGTGAAGGAAAAATTATTATTACTGTGTTTCAACAATCAAGACGCTTTATTCTAATATTCTGATTAAGAATACTGAAGTAGCACCCTGCTTATTCAACATAACTCAAATGCAGAATACATTCAACTACCATTCAGTTGATTAATATGTTAATTTGTTATTGAAAATAAATTAAGCCTTGTATCTGTTGTAGACTTACTCACGAGGAAAACCATGGACAGTTAGACGTCACAAATGTTCAAGTGGTATATCGCGCAAAATGGTTGGATCAGGTACACAAACAAGGTAATTCAATGTTGTATGACGGATGAAGTTACATTTTACCTTCTCCGCCTTTTATAAAGACTCATATATACATATTCTGTCACTCTAGTTAGTACCCGACCGAAAGCTGCTACCTTGACGTGGTGGTCGGGCTTGAACACCGCAATGATCTAATCAAGCTATACTGGCTGAGACTTATGTCTCTTGAGGTACTACCATGCCAGGCAGGTTGTTTGGATAGCGGTTAAACAAAAAGCAGCTACCCAATCCAACATCATGTCCAATACAAAATTACAAAATTTCATGCCGGATCGGCCGTGGCCCGGATTAACAACGACCGCGCTTCCTGCTGCCGTGTCACAGGGCAGGAGTGATAAATCTGCTACTGAGACACACCAAACAAAAAAGAACGAACAAAAACAGGCCGCGTGTGACCGGCCTCAAGCAGTTGTCCCCTGGGCTCTGCGGTCACGCAACCAACTTCCACGGTGTGGGCAGCCGGGAAGTAACAATCGCCCTCACAATCCGAAATGCACACGAAACCTCTCTATTACTCACTCATCTTTGTCTTCATCTTCATCTCTATCATCTTGCCTTCCTTCCACTGATGCAACTCCTCGACTTGATAGCTCTCCACTTCCTCTCCACTCTGCGTCCACTAAAAACGATGGAAGCCAAAAAACCACCACCGACAGCCTCTTAAAGCCGCGCCACCAATTTCATATAGGAGCTCTTAATGTTAGGACACTTTGCCAAATAGGACAACAAGCATCACTAGCCAAGACCCTGGCATCACGAGCCATTGATGTATGCTGTGTTTCAGAAACACGCATACAAGACCCAAGTGTGGTTATTCACCTAACCCCACCTGGCCAACAGGTTGAATCTGCAAAATTCACCTTGAGGGTGTCAGGAGATGCCACAGCTAGTTCACGAGGATTAGCTGGCGTAGGGATAGCTTTGAGTACTAGGGCAGAAAAGACATTGCTTGACTGGATCCCGGTAGATAGCCGAATGTGTGCTGTCCGCCTGAACGGATCAGTAAGAAGGAGGAAGGACTGCACTACTCGCCGATGCCTTTTCGTAATCTCCGCCTACGCCCCCACTGACTGCAGTTCAGATGAAACGAAGGATGAGTTCTACCAAAAGCTGTCTAGTTTGGTGGAAAGGCTAAACGCTCAGACATAGTCGTTCTAGCTGGTGACTTTAACGCTCAAGTAGGGAAATTGTGTCAATCTGAGAAGGATGTCGGTGGCACCTATGGAGCTCCGTGCCAGCGAACCGACAACGGTGACCGTCTCCTACAGTTCTGCTCTGATAATCATTTGTTTCTTGTAAGCACTAACTTTAAACACAAGGAGAGACACTGTTTGACTTGGAGACCCCCTTCATCAAACCAACGCTGGACACAAATAGACCACATAGCAATAAGCTATCGTTGGCGTGGGTCGGTAGGAGATTGTCGCTCCTTCTGGAACACGTGCGTAGATACCGACCATGCACTGGTCCGCGCTCGGGTGTGCTTACGACTGAACGGACGTAGGAAACAGCTGGCGGTAAAACCATCACGTCCCCAGCTCGATCAGGAAACTAAATCCGTATTTCAGGAAGAACTAGCTAAACACATATCTGTGTTCGACAGCTGTGCTCACCCTGAAGAAGCTTGGAAAAATATCCAGGCAGCCATAGATACAGCTGTAAAAGCTGTGAATAAGGTAAACCCAAAGGTGAGTAAAAACCACTGGATCTCCACCGCCTCATCCGAACTGATAGATGCTAGAAGACTTATTCCGGCGAGCTCCGAATTCAATGAGGAGCGAAAGCTGCACAAGAGGAAACTTACGAAAAGTCTCCGCAAGGACCGTGAACAGTGGTGGGCGACAAAAGCCAAAGAGATGGAGAAAGCTTCGAGGATAGGCAACACCAGGCAACTCTTTGGACTCATCAGGGAAACGGGTGGGAGAAGACAAATCATCAGTGAGACAATCTCGGAAAAAAATGGCACTATAATTAGCTCCCAGGATAGACGACTGGATCGTTGGAAAGAGCATTATGAGGAGCAGTTTAATTTGCCCACAGCCACGCTCAACCTTCCGAGCATCCAACACCTCCCTGAATGGGATATAGACACAGGTCCTCCGTCACTAACTGAGGTTACTAAAGCTGTCACCAATCTGAAACTAGGCAAAGCAGCGGGACCTGATGGAATGACTCCAGAGGTATTTAAGTACGGTGGAGACAGCTTACTGTCCGGATTAACTGAGGTACTAGGCAGCGTCTGGGAATCAGAAGAAGTCCCATCGGGTTGGTGTAAGTCACTGATTATCCCCATATACAAGAAGGGAGACAAGTCTTCCTGTGATAATCACAGAGGGATTAGCTTGACTAATATAGTATCTAAAGTCTTAGGCTCAATAATCATGCGTAGACTGAGTGGTGCTCGGGAAGCACAAACACGAGAGAGCCAGGCAGGCTTTAGACCAGGAAGAGGGTGTATTGATCATATCTTCACCCTCCGACAGATTCTAGAACATAGGCATTCCTACCGGCGTCCAACAGTCATTATATTTCTTGACCTAAAGGCAGCATTCGACTCTGTCGATCGGGAAGTTCTCTGGAGATGCTTGGCTGTAAAGGGAATTCCGAGAAAATATATTGCACTGATTAAGGCACTCTACTCGTACTCATACAGCCAGGTGAGGGCTTACGGCGAGCTGTCATCTGAACTGATGACGACCAGTGGTGTCCGTCAAGGATGCCCATTATCTCCTTTTCTATTCAACTTCATCATAGATGTGTTAATGGACTTAACCCTAGGTGACTTCAGCGACTCAGGGATTGACTTGCTACCGGGGAATAATCTCGTTGACTTGGAATATGCAGACGATATAGTCCTTCTAGGCGAAGACGCTGACGAAATGCAGAGTCTTCTAAACACCTTGACCAGCAATCTACGAATGTTTGGCATGCGATTCGCTCCCGCCAAATGCAAGATGATGTTACAGGACTGGACTACATCGACGCCTAGTTTAAAAATAGGAAGTGAAGTGGTAGAGCACGTTGACCGCTTCACTTATTTGGGAAGTACCATCAGCCCCAACGGGTTGATCTCTGACGAAATCTCAGCACGAATACAAGGGGCTCGTTTCGCATTTGTTAGTTTACGCCGACTCTGGCGTAGACGAGATGTTCGACTATCGACCAAAGGGCGGGTGTACTGCTCATCAGTCCGCTCCGTCCTCCTTTATGGTTGTGAGACCTGGCCACTGAGAGTGGAAGACATGAAAAGACTAGCTGTCTTTGATCATAGGTGCCTGCGTTCTATTTCCCGTGTAAAGTGGCATAATAAGGTGAGCAACATGGAGGTTAGGCGTAGAGTTCTAGGTAAACAGGGGAAATCAATCGACGAAGTCGTGAAGCTACAAAGACTGAGATGGTTAGGACATGTGTTACGTATGCCAAGCCATCGCCTCCCTCGACGAGCTATGTTAGCGGATATAGGGTCAGGCTGGAAAAAAGCTAGCGGCGGTCAAACAAAAACTTGGCATCAGTCAATGAAATCCACAACAGTTGGTCTAAGCCACGTAGAAAGGTGTAGACTTCCAGGCTGGGGTCCTCGGGACGGTAAAAATCTATGGTTGGAAACAATTGGTGACATGGCTCAAAATCGTTCTCAGTGGCGCAGATGCATCCACTCCCTGTGACTTATGATCTTCAATGAAACTGTTTTGTATTTCTTTATTACTCCTTTGTCTCACACCTCTGCTCACTGTTTCTATTATGCTTTTCTTGTACTTTCTTCTCTTGCTTCGCGTGCTACACGGAATGTGGCGACTTGAACTTCCGCACATTTGTGCAAAGTTCTATGTCGAAAACAGACAGACAGACAGACTCTAGTTAGTAACGAAGCGGTCAGTTGAGAAGACTGGTTTTGGCGGTTGATTTCAAATCTGTTAGATAGCTGGAGGGAGTCAACTTCAAGCCTAATACTTAGGTTTCATTAAAAATATATATATGCAGTCTATAGCGTCACGATTAATTCAGTATTTTATTCCCCTTTCCTTCATTTTTGAAGTGTTTGGTAATCACTGTTTGATGTAGACGTTCATTGGAATTTAACATTATTACCATTACTCATGAAAGGATGTTCGAAATCTATTATCTCTAAATCGCAAGCAGTTGACAAATATCATTCCATATATTCTTATGGTTTCTGAGATCTGGAAATTTAAAAATAGTCTCCACCAAGTCATTGATGCATATTGCTGAGTAGGCTAACAACAGGCCACTAAGCTTTCACGATATTTAAGTGTCCTTGAGGCTAATCTTTTAATTCGTCAGATGAGCAAGTGATTTCCCCAAGTCTACAGATGCAATATACATTTATTCAGACCCCATGAAAGGTGTATTAGCAATGTCTGAACTTGTGTACACGCATTCTTGTTGAATTTATCAGGATTAAATGTTGTGTTTTTATTGCATTTTTATTTCTTTTCTCTCAACCACTTTACAGGAATTTTACGTCCTACTGTCAGAGTTTTAAGTAGTATGCGTGTATTCAGTAAACATTTTCACATGTATATGACCCTAGCAGGTATAGTGCCAGAATAATTGGCTGCCGAGTGAGAAGTAGACATTTGTAAAAATTTAAATTTGTAAAAATCTTAACGAAACTGACAATGAATAATTCCCACGTTTCGTTCGGGAAACTAGTCTGAAATTCTTCGGGGAAATTAATCGAAATTACAATGACAGGGGCTAATATGTAAAAGTACATCGCTTGTTTTTAAAACTTTGTCCAACCATATGAGTCCTGAATCAGGTATCAATAAAATGATATATTTTATAGAAAACCTAACTGGACAAGACAGTATCTTAATTACCACAGTTTCTGCCCTGTTTAGTACAAAAGAGCCTTAGTGAGTTAGGTGCCTCTTCAGTAGAATCCAGCGAATATGCACTGAAGACATACATCAATGAAGAACAAAGAAAGTTGACACAAACTCTGGCTGATAACAATTATCCAGACAAGTTCATCAGGAGATATAAAGTAGTCAGAACACCAAAGCACCCACTCCTTAACTCACCCCTGAGAAAGACGTGTACATCAAGTTACCTTATATTATGGGTGATCATAGCAGCTTGACAACCAGACAAAGATTTCAATATAGCAAAAATATTCATTCAGGCACAAAATAATCGAACAAAGAATATTCTTTTCGATAAGTTTCTCTTCTGGCTCTACAATCATATATATGGTTTATATACACAAAATATTTAAGATTGGAATTGTTTTTTAAATAATATTGATTTGTAAAGTAAGATCACAATGGAATCACAGTTAACTAAAAATACTTAAATTATAATAGCAATAAAGATATAATAGGGAATAGAATTTTAACTAAAATTAGGGAAATTGCACAAAAATTCAAACCTGGATGGCCAAGGTAATGATAATGTCTGAACGAACTTCTTTTGGATGCATAAATTAGGCTTGTTAATGCGGATCCCCAAAGCCTCATATGCTTTCCCAGCTTTTAGCATCTTGATTGCATTCAGGACTTCTGATTTTGTCGGAGGGTTGATGTTCACTGGTAGTTCTGCTTCCGTTGTTGGTATTGTTGGGCGCGTTGTAGGTGGTGGACGATTTAGAAGTCTTTTGAAGTGTTCAGCCCAGTGTTTTCTTTCTTCCACCCTTTTGGCGACTGACTTTCCATTGTCATTCTTTACTGGCTTAATCTGTGTCGAACGTTTGCCCGATAGTTTCCTAGTTGTTTGGTAGAGTTTGGCGAGGTCTCTTTTGTCTGCAATGTGGCTTGTTCTGCTTCACCTGCCATGGCTTCATAATATTTTCTTTTGTCTTCCCTGACACTCTTCCTCACTCTTTTGTTCAGTGTATTGTAGCTTGCATTCAACTCCTGTTTTTGTCGCTCGTCGGTTCACTGGATAATCTTTTGTTTCACTATCCTTCTCTCCTCTATTAGTTTCCAGGTGTTTGCAGTGAGCCACTGTTTGCCCTGCCTCTTCTTTCTGCCTAGAGCTTTTATGCAGGTTTGACTCCACACCGTTTTCAAGTTGTCCCAGTGCTTTTCGACGCCAACCTCTTCGCTGGTGTTGATTTGTGTCTCGGCTTTGTCCCTTATGCTTGCAATGAAAATGTCTTTTGTATCTTGGTCCTTCAGTTTTTGAGTGCTGAACTTGGCTTGCGGTCTATCTGCAACTCCTGATTCCCTGAAAGCTTTTAATTTGATTTGGATTGTCCCTTGCAGGAGATAGTGGTCTGAGCCAACGTCTTCTCCTCTTCTTACTTTTGTGTCCAGTAAGCTGCGCCTCCACTTCCTTGAACTGCATTGAGATGAAGTCAATTTGGTTATTGGTTCTCCCATCTGGTGACAACCATGTAGACTTGTGGATATCTTTGTGCTTGTATACACTGCCACCAATCATTAGTTCGTTGAAGGTGCAGAAGTCGGCGAAGAGTTTTCCATTTTGATTCATTTCTCCGAGAGCTTCTCTACCCATGATGAGTTCCCTTCCTGTGTTATCTGGTCCCAGTTTGGCATTCATGTCTCCCATTAGTATTTTAATGTCGCCAGCTGGAGTATTGTTCATTGTTGCCTGTAGTTGTCTGTAGAATTCTTCTTTCTTTTCGAGGTTTGCGTTGTTTGTGGGTGCATAACATTGTATAATTGACACTTTCCTTCCTTTGGAGTTGAATCTGACAGTCATTATCCTGGACGAGATCGCTTCCCGTTACATCAGGGCCTTTGTTGCCTTTGGTGATATCATGATAGCCACGCCCTCGGTGTGCGTGTGGTTATCTTCTGGGTGACCGGAGTAGGTCACTGACTCACCCGTTGACAATTTGGTGAGTCCATTCCCGTTCCATCTGCTTTCACATATTCCCAGCACTTGTATTGCGTATCTTTTCATCTCGTTTGCGATCTTGGCATCTTTCTCAGTCTCGTACATAGTTCGGACGTTCCATGTCCCCACACAGACTTTTTCTTTTGGTGCAAAGAGATTCATCGTGCTGAAGTTTCTGTAGCAATTTTGTTTACAGGGTGGGGTTGCTAGCCTCACGCCTGAGAAAGGAATGGTTACATTAAGATAAAGTTTAGAGAGAAGCGATCTTTTGGGTTGCTTCCCTTAAAATCGGAAAACAACGGACCAAACAATTAGAACAACACCAGCAAAAGGAAAATAATTCACAGCAAAAAGGGCAAAAAGCGACAGCAACAATACAATACAACAACGTGCAATACAGTTCAGCACAGTTAACTAAAATTATATCAAAACGATAGACTCACTGACTTAGGCCAACTTGAACATATAAATCCAACAATACATACAATTGTAGATATGTTAGTGTTAAAAGGTTACAAAATGTAAAAAAAATACTTTGTTATAGGTATAAGTAGTCAGTGATATTATATCAACAGGTTCAGTGTTCGAAAGTATACAGATTGTAATAAATTCCAGAACGTCGTAGTGAGATACAACAACGAAATGAGAGTTTTATAAATATCAGCGAAAACGTAATGCACTAGTCGAAAAGCGCGCTGTTTGCCTTCTTTCTCAATAGTAAAATTTATTGCAAGATGTACCTCCAGAATGCTCTTTGCTTCCTTCTCGTTTTCCATAATCAAAAAAGTATCATCCATCTACCGACAATAAAATTCAAGTTCACTAATAACATCCTATAGAGGCCCATTTTCTAGTTTGCCAATGACAATGTCGGCTAGAATGGGTCCTAGTGGTGACCCCATTGCCATACCGTCAATTTGTCTATATAGTTCTCTCTTAAATAAAAAGTGAACATTCATTGTACATTTCAAGAGAAGCTCTTTCATAAAAGATATAGGAATGCCAACATCGATGTTTCGTCTTTTGAGTTCTTCGCATACAAAATCCACTGTTTCCATAAGTGGCACATTTGTGAATAAGGGAGATACATCAACATATGATATCGTGAATTTATTGTCAACATTGAAATCTTTTATCCTTTCCACATATCCGAAAGTATCCTTTACACTGTGTTTCACCAACTCGGTATGAAGTGGTTGTAAGATTTCGACTAGCCATTTGGCAAAGATTGAATGATGTGGTTAAAAAGACTTCTTATGCAGCTAATATCACTATAATTGAGAATGTGATGTCGATATATCAATCTAAGCTCTTTGGACATGAGAAAAATAGTGTGACATCCCATTGTATTTATCGATTCGAATGTACGTGTAAACACGCATATATATAGGGAGGACTCATCAATCTCTGCCAGCAAGTAAGGGCTGGCTTCACAGCATATTCCCAAATGGCTCCAGAAACAAATGGAAACTTGTTTCAATTTAGCTGAGATTCTTTACAAGTATTTATTTTATACGCGGAATTGTTTTTCCAAACGCATTATAGTATAAATAACCAAACTGTTTAGTTCACTTAAATTCTTCTCTAGTCTTCACAAGTTAAACATGAGTCATAGTTGCAGTATGTCTAAGATCGTCATCACTGCTAGATATAATTATGGCATGTCGAAGCTTCTGTAATATTAATACGCCTAGTCTCTTTGGCATTATTTAGAGATAGAACTTCCGCTTCTCAAATACTCATATTAGCATGAGGCTTATGAAATTCTACACTGTAATTCTTCAGTTGATAGCGTTGATAACATTTCCTTTTCCTGTCTACTAATTTCTTCCTTCTCAATTATTAGGCTGTCAAGACATCGAAGTGAAGGATCCCTACTGCACCAGTGCCCCTACTGTGAAACTTTAATGTTACCTGTAAATCCACCAAATCTAACCAAAACAAAACGCTCCAAATTGGAAAGAGTTTTCAGCTATCCAAATGAGAATCAAGACCCAACAACAAACCACCACCACCACCAACAACAACAACAACAACAAGAAAGGGAAGAGGCCATTTACTACTACCAACCAAATTATAAACAGATTGTTGTCTCACACAAAACAATCCATACAAAACAAACGAATATCAAGAAAAAAACCACAGACTCACATTCCCTCGTATCGCCTACATTATGTGAAATAAAGTCGTCATCATCAGACAGACCTCATAGATCTGTAAGTCGATGCCGTGAAATACCAATTCGTATACAACGTACCGATTCCGAAGACAATGGAAATAATAAATTATCGAATTACTTTTCAGTACAGTGTAAAATTAACCCATCCTCAAAAGACAATCCGCGCTGTTCTTCTTCTCAAGCGACAGTTAGTGTTGTTGAAAGTTCGGACAATGATGATTCAACGGCTTTTTAAAAAAAAGACTAACACTATGAAGAATATTAAAAAAATTAAAAGGGAAATGATACCGTCTTTCTTTTACCATTCAAATAAGTAGTAGTATTATTACATTTTCTTCTTTTCCTCTTTTTTGCTATTTATTTTTAATTGAAATTTCTATTGTTGAAAATAAACTTGTAAATTATTATTAACTTTTATTTATTTTACTGCATAATTATATTCAAACTTGTCCAGAAGAAATAAATGAATCATTTATTCTGGGGGAACGCATCATATACACTTTTCATCAAACTATGGATGTACTACTCAGTATGTGTAATAATAATAATAATAATAGTTTTATTCCAAAACACTACTTGTGATACAGAATGGAATTTTCAGCATTTACTACAGTATAGCGCCCAGTTAGTACAATATCAACAAAAAAAATTCTATATAGATTAAAGGTAATCTAGGTGAGATTGACAACAACAACATAATAGCATGTCGGTAGCAAAGCCAAAATTGAACAGAGTGTTTGAAGGTGTTAGAAAAGTAGACACTAGCATGTTTACTGGTGTAAGCGGTAACAAAATGGTCGAGATATACAGAGTGTGAAAGAACGAAGAGGAATGCTTTAATGGAGTAAGTAAGGAAGAAATAAACAAAGCAGCACATAAAAGAAACAAAAAGAGAGAGAGAAAAGGAAAAGAAATAAAGGAAACGTTGTACCAATCAATGATATGAGTTGAAAAGACGAGATCCAGTTGTTCTACTGACTATTCAACAAGTTACAAGTTTCACGCCTAGTGCTTTCTTTATCGCACAGAACACGAGGTAGGTAGGGTATGGTTGAGTTTTTGTACTTAATAGTGCGAGCATATCGTTTTCTATATAGGCAGGCTTCTGGTTCGGCCTGATGAGATACAAGGGGAGAGTTGTGAATGAAGAGGGTTGTCTTGTGAGTTAGATAAAATGGATTTCGCCCCTCTTTTTCACATGAGTCCATGTGCCTGTCAACGAGAATATGAACAAGCTGGTCGATGCGCACGTAGCTTACCCTGCTGACAACCTTTAACATCCTTCGTAATAAGGCATAGTCCTTCTTCAATATCCCTTGAAAACCTAAGTGGGAACAATAGAGATTAATAGGCAGGATGCAAGAGTTAACGAATCGTAAGAGTAAGGGTCGGGTTGAGTTATTCCAGAATGTCTTAACTTCTTGATGTAGAAGGTAAGACGGAATATTTTCTTAGAAATCATCAAGATATGAGATGACCAGGAAAGATCAGCAGATAGAGTGACACGGAGAAATTAAATTTCCGACTTAGTGTCTATTTCGGTGCCATCTATGTTGCACACCTCGTGAGTGGTAACCAGTTCGTTTAGATCAGACTTGTGCCTAAAGGTGAAATTAACTGTTTGGCATTTGGAGGGGTTTACGGTGAGGCCGTTTTCTTTGGACCATTGGCTGACTTCTGATAAAAAGCCGTTTAGTTTAGTGCAGTCACTTTGACATTTGACAGGGAAAGATACAGTTAGATCATGGGCATATTTAACAAAATTAGTGTCATTTGAAGATGGTATGTCTTGTAGAAAGAAAGAAAAGAGAAGTGAGGAAAGTACAGCACCTTGGAGGACACCAGCTTCAGTGATCACAGCAGAGAAGGATTTACGTTTTATACAGTTTACTGCAAAAGAAATTCTGGACGACATTCGAAGGATTATTTAAAATCACACGTTGAGAGTGACGCTTAAAATCCAAAAACACAGAATTCGTCTAAAATATAGTACTATGTTAAACATGAAATATATGAAGTATAATATACATACGTCAATTGTAAGTTGTGTATGGCTGAATGCTGTCACAGTCAATGTACGTCAATGAGTAAAAACTGTAGAGCTATGTCAAAGGTGATCGACATGCTATTTAAACAACGCACGAACTCCAGATACGGAATAAAGGGATACGAATGAACAATGTTCATCAGTAACGAGTACATAAACAAATTATTCACAGCAGATAATATTCAACCATCAGAAATCAGTTACTATGCATCAAATAGAGTATAAATACATTGAGTTAAACATCAAATATCAAAGAAAGTCTTTACTAGAAGTTAAAAATATATTCATACTACTGACTAATAGTAAGTAGTGTAAATTGAATACAAAAGAAAATAACAAAGGGCAAGCGAGAAAAGAATTTACAGCCGTGAGGAAGAGTATTTATAGCAAATGCATTTTCAGGCATACAGCTTCAAATGAGCGTAAAGAGAAACACTTATGAGTTACTCTATCACAGTCTCATTTCATCTATAGTGGTCATATAAAAGACAGGATATTCTCTTATAAGATTTTATTAATGTGTATATATATTTCTGTTCACCATTTCTTCCAGATAGTGAAGCTTCCAGAAATCATAGAAACAAATGTCACCTGTGTCTTCTTAAACAGTTTGATTTATTCTTTTCACTTCCTGTCTTTGATCAAAGTAGACTGAATAAGCCTGTTTGCAATCAAGAAGACTCAGTCATTTATGTTATTATCCTCCATCGTTATAATTTATTTCCTACACTTTTGTGAATCAATGTTCATCGTTGGATTTCTCGTATCCTCAGTATTACACACACACACACACACACACACACACACACACACACACACACACACACACACACACACTATGATTTTATACAGTTTCGATGTAGTTTAATAGATTAAATGTCTAAATATTACTATGCCCCTTGTATTATCCTTTTGCTTACATGTGTCAAGTGATGAGTATATTGCCAAATGAATGAGAAATACTCAACGCTAATTAATGGCTCTCTCTATCACACGGATCATTCGTATGTTCGACTTTCTGGAAAGCTTTCAGGTGATTCTTTCTATTATAGTACGACTGTTGATGTTATTATTATTATCGTGACCGTCATCATCAACATCATCATTATCGAGGCAGTTAACTAATTGTATCATTTACTGCACACACTTATCAGTGATCTCGAATTCATCATAGTGACAGGTCACAATTATGTGTATAATTACAGAGTCATGTGTATTTATATTTGTAAACAGTGTTGTTCTATTACATGCTTTATTTCACAACTACTTATATGAATAGGAATTAGTAGGCTGGAAAAATTGCAAATACCAGTAATGCATTTTAACATTGAATGAATAGGTATGGTATGATGGAGAAAAATACACCAAGAAAGCTGAAAAACTACTACTCAAACAGGAGGATGTAGTATATCAACAACTCCCTAGAAATCACATACCAACATTAGACAGTCGCATCCAAAGAACCTTAAACATGCTGACCAAAACTGGACAGATCACAAAACAAGACCAGTGACGAATGAACTCGAATGGACTAGTCCTATTCTGATTCTACGGAAGACCCAAAATACATAAGCCAAATATCCCGTTACAAGCGATTGTATCATTCCCAGGAACTCCAACATATAATTTATCCAAAGAATAATACAGAAAACTGAAACACTCCATCAACTCTGCTATCGAATTTTTAGAGAAAATCAGAGGCATCCAAATATATGAACAAGAAATAATGATATCCTTCGACGTCACAGCATTATATACCTCAATCAGTCAAAATCTAGCAAAAGAAACCATGGGGCAATTACTTAGCAACGACGAACACCTTCCACAACAATCAAAAATGCAACACACAAGCTGGGTGGAATGCATAAACCTATGCCTAACAACGTAGACCCAATTCAACGGCCAAATGCCTGAACAAGTCAAAGGAACACTCATGGGATCGCCAATATCAGGTTATCTTAACATAATTCTACCAAAGATCAAACCCAAGATTTGGATATGTTACGAAGGCGACACATTTGTAATAATCAAAAGAAACGAGTTAGATTAAACTCACAACTTAATAAACAACGTCTTCAACGACATCGAATTTACAAGAGAAGAGGAATTCGAGAAAAAAATCTCATTTTTGGACGTCTTAGTCAAGCGAACAACCACAGGGGAATTAGAAACTCAAGTTTACAGTAAATCAGCTCAAACAGACCAAAACCTTGTATTACAACAGCAACAATCTGATAACACACAAAATGAATTGCATACAAACACTACTCAAGAGGGCAAGGACTCATTGGAGCATTCCTATCTTGAGGAAGATGGAAGAAAGATATCTCATAGACTTCTTCCAGAAGAATGGATATCCACGGAGTTTCACCAAAAAACATATACCCCTAAGTCAACCTATCAAACCAAAACCCCCCACGGAAAGCACAAAGTAAAACGCCCTACCGTATATAAAGGATATCTCTGAAATCACTACAAGACTCTTCAAACCTTCAGGAATTGACGTTGCACACAAACCGATAAAATCACTTCACTCAGTTCTATGTCAACCAAAAGACTCAACAACGGAAGATGATAAAACCAACATCATCTACAAAATAAATTGTAACAATTGCGAAGAACACTTCATTGGCCAAAGTGGACGTCCCCTTCTTCTTCTTATCCAGGAAAATAAGCTAGACGTCAAAAGACGTGATATACACTCTCTCATATCGATTCACTGCATACAGACAACCACGGACATCAATTCTACTGGGAAAACGTTCAAATATGAGACAGAGGAAACACCAAGAGTGCTAGAGAATTTTCAGAAGCCTGCCTGGTATTCCAGTGAATCATCAATCATTAGACACATCGAGATAGACAAAATTTATCGACCGATAAGGAGGAAATCTCATACATAAAGGGTCAAAGTTCCATTCAACGAAACAGTCGACACCAACAGCAATACAAGTAGTCTAGAAAGTGTGAAAGCACACAAACACAACCAAAAATTCACGTTCAAGGTGGTCAACAGGAGAGATGACTAAGAAACTCGTGGAGAAATCTATAAGCTTACTTCAACAAATTGAAGTATGCGCAGAAGAAAGATGTCGCCTAGTAGGACAATGGAATCTTCGTAAATTAACTACCCAGCTCAGAGGAAACAACCATATCAAAAGCATTTGGTTATGGTACGCAGAAAAAATTATTGGATTGAATTCTGCTATACAATTGGAATTTTCCCCACTTGTGCTAGCGTGGTGAACTAATTTATCTGAGTGACCTAAATTTAGATCATGAATGGTTACCACTCAGAAAGGCAGTTAAAAGCAAAAATGAGCTGCTGTTTCATACTAGTTCGGGATTCTTCAGCAGCTTGACCACGGCAAAAGTTTGAGACGGACTCAAAAATCTGGCGAGGGGTAGAAATTCAGTGTGAACTGATGAATATTTATAATAATAATAATACGTCAACAGACTTCATCTCACTGATTAATGCGAAACGCAGTAGAATGATGAAAATGAAATTGATGAAAAGGA